TGCCTAAATTTTGAAACAATAAAAAAATGTGACTGACTAAGAGCCATGGTTTCACAAAGTGTTCCATAACTAATGTCTTGAACCCCAAGAGCCTTTGTGCTATAACTAATATAAAACAGAAGAAAGTGTGGGCTAGCCTGATGGCGTTTTTATACAGCTGACACTGCTAAAACTGGGAACAAAAACAGGGATAATAAGAGGCATGATTAATTTCCATTTACATGGCTTTTATCTCACTGCTGAGAATTATGACACTGCTCTCACTTCGGTCACATGAGCACAGGAAGGCTCGAAGCGGACGTCTCCACTCACCACTGGTGCTTGCTCCTCTAGAATCCAGGGTTTTGTGTCCAACCCTCTGGCATATAATCTTCCTGGGGAGGATGAGCAGTGTGATACCTCGATAATTGGAATATACTCTCTGGTCCCTCTTTTTATATAAATGGGAACCACTAGCTGTTTCTGCCAATCCACAGTTACTTATTCCAACGTCCGCTGTCGCTGTTGGCATATACAGTGATAGAAGTGTGAAGCATTAACTCAAAGGCAAAATGCTCAATCTAAACCCTTGCATATAATCCTGAGCTCTGAGTACTGACCAAAAGAGTGAAATCACTGATAGATCAAGCCTAAATGACCCTCCTTCACAGGGTGCCTGGGCCCACTTTTAGGGGCAGGAAGAAAATCACAGATATCCAGAAGGTGCTGGGAGTGGAAAGGGCTTCTTCTTCACTTTGGAAAGGAGCCAGTTGGGGTGATGGGAACATCTGATGTCTCTTGGATGCCTCCCTGAGGAGGTATTACATATCCTGTCTGACCTGGAATAACCTCAGGATCCTTCAGGAAGACTAGGATGACGTGGCAGGAAAGGACATCTGGACTGCCTTTCTTAGCCTAACATGACCCAGAGCTGGATCAGCAGTGCAAGATGGATGGCTCTATTATTATAATAATAATAATAATAATAATAAAAACACACACATGCTTTGAGAGCCATGAGGATCTGGTCACATGTCATGATGATTATCATCAGGCCAGGTTCCTCTGATCTTATCATGTATGAATATTAAACACTGCTGTATGAATAAATGCCTGCCTGCCTCAAAACAGAATAAGTTAACCTCCCCATCTGGTGACAAAAACTAAAATATTGATAAGTATTTCAAATAATTATTTGACCTGGTCTGATAACAATATACCTTTTACATCATTTAACATTTTTAGTGACTGTTACCTGATGCTACAGCCTCTTGTGTTACTTTCTGCACTGTGTTGGCAAATTTGTTTTGTTAAAATTTTGTTATTAACTAATAATTTTCATACACAAACAGCTGATTTTTGCATGACTAGAAGCATGCGTGTTAAAAACCGTGCATCACTCAACCAGCACTGATAAGCTTTCAGCCATGTCAGTCTCACTTTCTCACACCTCTGAGTTAAATAACCAACTGACATCCATCTTAACAACATGTTTCATTGGCCGTAATGGACGCCATGGTATTTACCCTGAAACTTTTGGATAGAATATTCATCAGGCCAGGTCCGGTTATTTTACATGTCTAAAGATGTGGAGAGCAGAGCAGACAAATTTTATTAGTTTGCCTTTTTAGGAGGTGTAAATCTGGAAATACAGTGTATTCCTGGTTTTGTGCATGCTCAGCTCCGCACAAATTGCATTATTTATATTGAACGCCACAGTTTTTTAGTTACTACCATAGGAAACTTTATGAAAACCAGTGTATTTTCTGCTGCGTGTGCTTGGTCTTGTGAGTTGTTTTTTTTGTGTGTGTGTATCTGTGTGTACTTGTCAGAGCGCGAGAAAAAATTGAAAGCACTGCTGGCAATTTTCTCTGGTGCAGAAATGCATTATTCAATATCCCCCAGAAGCAATGTACCCGACCATATAATTTGGCGTTGCAGTGTTTGTGTGCGTGTGCATCTGAGTGCAGATGCACTTTGGTGGCATTTGTGATTTGCGTTACTCAAGATTTAGTTGACATCTTACAGATCTCCCTCTCACTCAGCCTGTGTGTCTTCCTTACAGGAGAAGTTGATGTATTTCCCAGTGTGTGTGAGCAATAAGAAGAAGTCTGAGGATGAGACAGAGGAGGGGCTGGGCAGTCTGCCACGCAATATCTCATCTGTCAGCTCCCTGTTGCTCTTTAATACTACAGAGAACCTGTGAGTCCACACACACAAACACATAGACAGATGTTAACCTTAAATAGAGATTAGATGCAAATCTTTTCTTCATATCTTTGGATTTGTGTGTTTGTAAAGATATAAGAAGTATGTGTTCCTTGATCCTCTGGCGGGAGCTGTGACAAAAACACACACCACACTAGAGACAGAAAAAGAAGAGAAGCCATTTGATGCACCCATGTCCATTACGAAGAGAGAGCAACTGGAGAGACAGGTACCCCAAGCACCATTTTTTTCAAAACACATTGTTAATTTGACTTTATATATATATAATTGGTAATGACACATTTCATAATTAATCTGGATGATATTTCTCACTTAACAGACAGCAGAGTCTTATTTCTACATGCCAGACCTGGGCCAGGTGCCCGAGATAGATGTGCCATCCTACCTGCCTGACCTGCCAGGCATCGCAGACGACCTGTCCTACAGCGCGGACCTCGGGCCTGGCTTCGCCCCGTCAGGATCCACACACAACATCCCTGAGCTGCCCTCATTCTCAGAGGAGAGCAACGCACCTGGTACACACCCATTCACTTTTTTCACAGTCTCATTGTGGTTTAGGCGGATGCTGTGTTTATTAGCTGATGGAGACTCTTCATCTCTTTGTTTCAGGACCTCACTTCCAACCTAATGTTGCACCTCCTCCGCCGCCTCCCCCTCCCCCTCCCCCTCCTCCTGAGCCCACCCTCGATCCCGCCACTCCTGCTGGAGCCCCCCCTCCTCCACCACCTCCCCCACCTCCCCCGCCTGTTGACAGCCCTACAGAAGTCTCACGAGCACCAAGTTCAGGTTTGTCACATCCAAATCTTTTACTGGCTACACACCACAGACTTGGATGAATGTGATGGAGCTTGACAGTGTATTCAAGTGGTGAAAACCTGCTCCTACCTTACACACACACACACACCCTATTCACGCTCTTAAATTAAACCTAATTGACATGAATGGGCGGAAATCTAAATTACACTGGCACCCCTCACTGTCACCTCTGACTGCAGGCCCTGTGTCTGGTGCTCCCAGCGAGGTCGTTCAGCCGTCAAACAGCCGTGCCAGTCTCCTGGAGTCCATCCGCAACGCAGGAGGCATCGGCAAAGCAAAGTTACGCAACATCAAAGAGCGCAAGATGGAGAAGAAGAAACAGAAGGCGCAAGAGCAAGGTGTCAAGATTCTTTTGAGTGGGGATGTTTCTGCTCGTGTCTTATTAAATGCTACAAGATGTTGCTTTAACTATGACATGCAATCAAAGCAGAGCATAACCAGTCCCTAGCTAGCAATCACCCATACATGTCAGGATGTGTGCGTTTGTGTATGTCTCATATGTTTATCATCAGTCCACGGCTTTGTGACCTTTGTTTTTATAAATGTCAACCTCATTAAAATGTTGACTTGGTTACAGTCGTGTTTTAAATTGTCTGACCTAATATCAGACAGCATATCTTGGCCTTTTTTTCTGGTTGGCTGGCCCGGTCTTGAACTAACATTTCATTTTTAAGATAGCTGCTAATGCTAACTAGATAAAGTTTTGTTGTAATGAAGTGCTCCACTTTGAAGCGTAGCGCTGGGGAATGAGTGAAACTTCTTCATTGCTCCAGTTACTAATTTAAAAAAAATACTGGTTGCATGATTATTTAGTAACTGCCTATCTTTGTCTCTCAGCAGCGGGAGCAGCATCTAGTGGTGGAGACTTCATGTGTGATCTCTTCAATAAACTTGCCATGCGAAGGAAAGGTGAGGATCCCTTTTATGTCAAATGAGATTCAAAACACTGATGCGGTTGGTCAGAACTGCAGACCGTAAATAATGTGTTCTGTCCCTATGTAGGCATATCTGGTAAGGGTCCAGCAAGTGGGGAGTCAGGTGACTCTCCAGCAGGAACTAGCAGTGCATTTGCCAGGATGTCAGATGTTATCCCACCACTTCCTGCTCCACATTCAACAACAGACGACGATGACTGGGAAGCATAACGTCATGAACGATGAACACTTAAAGCATTGATAACTAAAGCATTTAATGGCCTTGAATAACTTTGTGTACAAAGGACACCCACGAAATTTTCCCACTAACAGAAATTTTCAGTGTGCATTAGCTTCATCATAATAGTAATTGCATTGGTTTGGCCAACCGGTTCAACAAAACATCACTAAAAACTCAAATTATAAAACAATTTATTGATAATTGTATTCATTGTAAACATTTTCATAAAAAGCAGATCTTAGAACACTCACTGCAATCATGAACATTTTCACTAACATCTTTTAAAATAAAAGTATTTTTTTTTGCATTACATAACACGTTTCATTGTGCTTTAAATATTTAATATCATCTTCAAGGGTAGATCAGTCACATGGATGCCTAAGCCAGTGCTGTGCCTGATATCTGTAGTAGCTGCTTCAGTAATTTAATTTTTACATACTGAATTTATTCACTATTTTATTATTCATTTTTGCCTCCAACATGTTCTACAGTGAAACTGATGACATCACAGGACTAATACACCTGAGTCTGTGATAAATGCCCCTTTGGCCTTTGTCTGCAGCGTGTCAAACACTTGCATCCATTATTTTCTAATTCATCTTCACTTCAAAGCAGAAGTAATATTTGACGTTGAAAGAGCTGACATGTAAAATAAAGCAAGTATGATGCACTGAAAACAGAAAAGACTGCCTCCCAGGAGCACTCAGATGTCTGATGGCTATAAAATATTAAAGAACGTAAACATAAAGGAGCATGAAAGGGTTGCGGCAACCTTGTGATAAGAAACTTATTACAGAGGCCCTCTAATTATATTTTTTTTGAACACGTTTCATTTCTTGTCGCTTGAGCCCAGTGTGAGTGAAACTACACCAGCTTCTGCTTCTTCTCCAGAAAGAACTAGGAAAGAAGAACACACAGACGACTTATGAACGAGTTTCAGTCACAATGCAGCGGTCAGAGTGTGGATACATATGTGTAACTTCCTTCTCACCTTCCGCAGGGCAGCAAAAGCGGGGCCAAAAGTTGTGTGTGTGCTGGTGCGCTCTTTGATCCATGTGGGAAGTTTAGACAGAGTAGCAGGTCGAGAGTAACGCCTGTCACACAGCACCATGGAGGAATAGTCGCCACGGTGGCGGATAGCTCTTCCTTTGGGCAGACAACGTTAAATACACGATACTGTATAAATAATTATTAATGATTTCTTTCTATCATATATTGTCATGAATATAGCACCATTACCTATGGATTGATTGACAGCCTTCATGCAGAGGTTTTCTATTAGTGCTTGGCCAGGGCTCTTTCCTCCACTGTGAGGCTAAAAAAATGAAACTGATGAGACCGACGATGAGCTTCACCTCAGCACCCCTGTGACCATGTACTTGTTTTGCCATGTTTGTGGATACAGTGAAGACTATTAGGACAGTAAAAAGTCTCACCAGGTGTTTGTCCAGATAGGCCATCTTTTCCTGTAGCTCTGGGGATTTGATGTTGGGATATGGCATTCCCACCATCACCACACACCTGTCATCGCGCGGAAACACAGGAAAGAACGATTGGATTACATGCTTTATACAGTATCCAACTGCTGTCTGTCTGTGTGCTCGTGAATTACACACACCTGCCCAGGTCATCTGAGAAATTGATGCCCTCACTCATCTTTCCTCCGACCACAGAGAACAGCAACGCACCTGTGAGCCCACTGCTGTCAAAAACACACCTCTAACAAAAGGAAAGGAGTTTAACAGTATAACGTGTGAGTGTCAATGGCAGAAGCAATCACTCACAATGAACTTATTATCAGTGCTCAGTGATGAGGGCTTATGTTTGAGTGTTTTACCTGGATACATCGGGAGAACTCATTAAGCACCTGCTCAACCTGGTTGGCCTTCTTTGGCTCCTGGAAGATCTAAGAAAGTAATTGTGATAGCTTCAGAAGCTGTCGGGGCAATTCTATTTTCACTTTCAGAACAGTATTCTTCAATATACTATGCAGCCCCCCAACACCATAAAGACGTTTTTTTCTAGCTCATTTAATGAGAATCCATGAAGCTGATGTACCTTCTTCTTGTTAGCCAGACGAGTCAGCATACCGTTGGCCTCCCAGTGAGAAATGATCCGCCTGGAGTACTCATAAGAAGGGAAGAAGCACACGACCCCGCCCGGGACCACGTTACAAATGTTGGACAGAATGCGGCCTGTCTCGTCCATCTGTCAACAAATAGGCACAAATATGCAATAATGCATACTACTACATGAAAAGATATTATAGCAAGAACTTAACAAAAACAGCACGGGCATGTGTGTGTCTGTTACCATGCGTGGAGAGTCTCTGTTTTGGAAAGTAAAGTCCAGCTCCTGACCAGACGGACCGCTGCACAAGACGAGGGGAAGGATGTTCTCGGGGGGAATTACATGACCTACACACAGGCAAAAAGAAAATGATTTCATTGATTTAAACATAATACAAACACAATCAAATAAAAACTTTAGGTCCAAACAATATTCCATAGACAGGTGAACTTCTGTTTAAATTTCACACAGATCTTTTGTCAGAGAACATGATAATAGTACATGTCTTTAATTTTGTATACCAGTGCCACAGGAGCACAAGCATTGCTCAGGTGGCTTATGATACAACAACCTTCCTAGTTCAACATGCAACCTGTGCGATGACAGGCAACAATGTAATTTTCAAGTAATCTTAAATATATGGTATACCGTTTATAAATAGTGGCTAGACAATTACTTCCATCATCTCATCTTGGTCAGCTCTGATTTAATCTGTCACCTCTGTCACTTGAACCAGAATCATGACATTATTCTTATGGCTAGTCTATCTGAGTGCATAACCCAACTCTAAATCGGTTATTTTTTTAAGTTTTTGCCAAAACATTATATTATTCCATCAAAAATTCTCACAAAGAGAAATATTGATAAACACATCAGTAAGAGAGTGCATTATAAAAACACAAAAAGAACGCTCCACAAAGTACTGCAGTGTTATAAAATGGGCCACTCACCACAGGAAAACTCAGTGATGCGTTCTGCTTCCACTCCGGCAGAAAACAGCAGCTCTTGTTTGAAATCTGAAACCTACATATAACATCTTTTAGAATGACAAAACGTACACAGCAAGAGCTTAGTTCATTTTTAGTGGATTTAAGACAACTTACAGGCTGCATGGTTCCTCCTGCGATGATGACCGCTTTGCACTGCTTCAACACCTGGGCAAAGTGGACCGCTGGATTCAACAGCAGGAACTTGACACTGCTCTCTGACAAACTACCTGGACGTTAAGCAAAATGGGGTATTTTACACTCTAACACTTGTATTTTTTGTTGTCCTGTTTTTTTCCCTTCTATTTTTTAAAAAGATACCTTGTCTGTGCACCACCACTCTGCCGTCAGCATTGCTGTTGGTGAGAGCCATGAAGAAACCCTCCACCTGCATCATGGGAGACGCAGACAGCACTTTCTCTGCCTCTACAGACCCCTGCTGGTCTGCTGAAGAAACTGCACACGTGGGAGCAGACAGAACGGGTAAATCATAATGAACAACCAAAAGGAATGCTACATTGTTCAGTGTTTGTTCATTGCTAAATAATGTCTGCAAATGCAACATAGGTCTAGCTTTACCAAAAACCCTCAGCTTGTCATGCACTAAATTTCTTTTCTTTTTTAGCAACATGCTAGTTTTCCAGTTTGATAACAACATATGGTATTTATTCTTTTTTCCTGTGCACTTTCAAACAAGGAAATGTGGGAGATTTTTTTATGGTAGGAATTCAAGGAGGATGTCCATCTCCAAAAATGTGTTTTTAATATGTTGGTGAGAAACATAAACATCCGCCCCCTGACCTGGCATGGTAATCTGGTTGCTCTGTAGAGTTTGAAGGTAGCGGTTCAAGCCCTCCGTGCGTCGATTCTCCTTGTTGGAGTTGCTCTGAGTGTGCAGAGTCACACCTGATCCCGCGTACTTCTCCACAAAGCCACCCAGCTGCAGAGAGAAGGCGCGTGAGGTATTTATTTGATTTTTTTACTGTAGATCACTCTCAGAGCTGGACAATATTTAAATGAGGCAATCAAAATCAATCAAATATTCACATATTATACACTTACTTTTCTGCTGATCATGCTCTTCTCAAAGTATCTCTGCAACTAAAGTGAGAATGACAGTGACATTGAAAGATTCAGACTGTGGTTTTCAACCGCATTATAAACACATTTTTGTTAATTACCTTAAACAAGTTGATATTGTCGATCTGAGCCTTGAAGAGGAAATTGTTAATGGTAAGCATTTCAGTTCCTAAAAGATAAAGAAACATCACTGTTTAGCAATTTCTACTTCAGTGTGTATTAGAGTGTGTTTATGTGTGTGTATTATTTACTGACCTGCTTGTGTAGTCTGGCTCTGCGGATTCTTCCCCACCTTACCTGCAAGGATAACATTTACATCATAAGTAGAAATGTCAGAAATGTGCCCTGTCCATCAATTTCCACTCTTAAGCACGTTGCAGACTGGCAATTATTAATCACCAAATACAAAACAAAAATCAGCCCAAACACACTCACCTCCCAGTACCCGGACAAGCCCCTCAATCACAAACAGAATCTGTTTGATGTACATCAGATTCTTTGCCTTCAGTCTGCTCCTGATGTTGTAGAAACATAAACATCAAGGGTCAAGAGAGTAATACAATTTTTAATTTGGGAATGAGTGCACTGTTAGAGCCTGTTTGTGTAATATACTAACTTATAGCGTTCAGCATACTGGGTAAGCTGAGAGTGGGCACGGCAAAGCTGCGGAGGAATCACATTTTAGCATTTTACAGGGAAAAGGCATAATTTAAACCTACAGTTTGTGCACAATGTGTTTACCTGTGCACCAGTGAGCTCTGCACTGTGTATACAGGAAAGTGTGTCACTAAGATTGTGAGCTTCATCTATGATCACCACCTGTGAAAAAAAATAAAAAATCTGTCAGTAATATGCAAAATTAATTCCACTTCAAATTGCTGAAACTCACCCAAATGGTCTCAAATACCCCACAGTGGTACTGGTACTGGCTGTGTGTTTACATTTTTGTTGCCAAAGGTTACACTACTTATGAGAAATATATGTTAACAATACTAGGGTATTTCTAACATTATATCGTTATATACTACTAATACGGACAGTTGCTGAGCAGAAAATTTATGAAAAGAATCAGAAATGATCAATCTAATCTTACCTGTCCCTTCAGCTGGACCCCTGCTGCCCTTCTCGTAGCTTCATGAAGCAACATCTGATAGGGCAACACCACCAGCTAGGCAGACACAATAAACATAGAACATACAGATTAACACTAAAACTTAAATCTGCTTAACAAAAAGTGAAGGAATAGATTTAAATACTGTAAGCTGAATGGCTATTGCTCCCCAGAAATTTAGGAAAAACCTGGACATAGGAGTACAAAGAGGACAGCATTACCTGTGCAGGGGGGATAGCGAGGCGTGTGGAGTAGTAAGGACATGCATGTGTTTCTCTGCCCAGCTTTAGCATCTGCTCTATATCGTGGACTGTCCCCAGAATGCCATCTCTCATCTGCTGCAGGGCTGATGCTTTATTATAGGGACACACACCCTTTGCTGGGCCTCGCTTACGTTTTACACCCTCTTCATGATGCTGCTTCTCTACAAAATGGAAGAACAGGCAGCGTTGCAAGCAAAAATAGTCTTATTTACTTTGATGTTTTAAGATAGCTCTTGTTTTTGTTTTTTTTACAGGTGCAACATTGGTTGTTTCTAGGATAATGTGATTGCATTACAAATGTTATTCATAATTATATAATGGCTTTTCTGTTTAATTCTGATATGTGGCATGTTTTGTATTATCTTCACTACTTCACTTCACTAAGCTTTCCTGGTTCAAAAAAGGGTAAAGAAAATAAAAATTAGTTAGCTGTGAATGTTCTTCTGTAAGCTCAGTGGTGCTGGAGTTAGTGTGTGAGGGGTTCTCACCATGTTTATTTTTCTGCATCTCCATGCAGCGGTCGTTGATAAGCTGGATGCTGCCGAGGCGACGCACCTCCTCATTGATACACAGATTCTGGAAAGTACACAATTTTATGTTTACTCTAAACATTCTGATGTCATGGTTAATAATCATGTTTTACTCATTGAATACAGGTATATTAGTTCCTTGTATTTTAGCAGTTTAATAGAAATTTCTAGCAATGTAATCACATTTTTGTAATCAACCTTGAATTAGAAAATACAAGTATGAAACTTTAAATAAGTTTTATTGCAAACAGCCTGCTTCTACATGGAGACAGACTAGACTGTTCTAGATCATTCTATGAGCCTGTAGCAGACAACATACTATCATCTGGTCTTACAGCTGTTACAACTGGTCTACACATCTTTATAATTTACAGCCTTTAATTTGTTGACTTTCTCCGTGCACCAGCTTTTAGATAAGCGCCACGTGAGATGGCACTTATCTAAGGGGCTAAGCGATTTGGCCAAAAATGTTATCACAATAAAAAAAATCATGTCATTCGATATTGACAATTATCACAATAAATGTGAAATCGTTATTTCTTTCAAGTTTAAAGGCTGATGGTTAATTGTGGTTTTACACTTTTCTTTATGGTCAGAACATGACAAACACTTGTCAAACAGTGGATCACTTAACATATCTAGAACATTCAAAACAACTACGATAAAATCTTTTTTCAGTTCCTTTTTCTCAACAAAATAAATCTTAAAGAAAAATTATGTGCCATTTCGTTCGTGATTCAAGTGAATTAAATCAACCATTTTTTTGTGTATTTATTGAACATCTGTATATTAGATGGTTATTGTTATTTTGCCCAGCCCTAATGTTACAATTAAAAATGTCAATCACCTAGGGCTGCAACTTTTAGCCACTTTCATTATTGCTTGAACATGCTGATTATCATTTTAATTAATAGATGAAAGCTTTGGTCTATAAAATGCCATTCAATATACCATCACTGAGGAATAAGAAAGCCAGTAAATATTTACATTTGTGAGTTGTTTGTTATTTGACTGACTAATCAAACCATTTCAGCTGTACACACAACAGTTTTCTCTTATACAATGCTTTATTCTCCAATCATTTTTATCTTATCTTGCACTTTACATTAAAACAGGGTGGTTAGAAACTTGAAAGCTTGAAAAGTAATATGTACCAAATTCCAAAAGACTTTAGTTTTCGGTGTTACACTTGCTTACTGAGCAAAAATACAGCATAGCACTTGTTGTCTCCAAACAATGACTGATATAAGTAATCAGGATGAAGGCCATCACGCAAACATGTCTCAGTTCAGTTACACGTAATTCTTGTATTCATAAACTACTACATTTTCACAATGGATGATATTTAACAAAATACACCAAAATCTAACCCCAACCCTTTTACTGGTAGTCTTTGTGTGAGTGTGTGTGTGTGTGTGTGTGTGTGTGTGCGCGCACATACCTGCCGTGAGCCCAGTGTGACCACACTGATGTCCTTGCTGAATGGGCTCTTTTGAACTTCATGGACAAACTGGGCCAGCTGGGAGTGAGTGCGACTGCAGTAGTAGATCTGAGAACATGCATTAACATACATAGTCTCACTTCTGGGTGAAGTGTGACACTCATTTATTATTACATTTTTGTATCAGCGGGACACTCACTCTCACAGTTACAATGGGAAACATTTCTCTCTTAAGTCACACCTTAGTAACATGTTCTTCAACCAGTTCATCGTCTGTGTCATCCTCAGCACCACAAAATCTGAGCATGAGAGCAAACAAACCCCGCTGTCAGTGTTCGTTTCAACATCTCACTGTGATGTAACATTTGATACGATAGGTGACCAATTAATGGCTATCCTCACCTGCTCCTGGTCTTTGACTCGTCATCGCTCTCATATTCTGCAACGATAAGCTCCTCGTCCTCTTGATCTCCTTGTGTCTCTGTTTGTTCCTCTTTACTAAGCTGGAGCAACTTGACCGCCTCATCATCTTCACAGCTCTACAGAAACATACACGGAAATTCATATATTGAGTTGCATAGACTTGATTTACAGTGATTATAAGTTTTGGGTACATTTCTGAAGCCTGAGCTCCCCAAAATGCCACTCTGCAAGATCCCTTACTTTTCTTTTCATTGCATACTTTAGTTGAACGTTGTTTCTGATCATTTCTAATCGTTCTTGCCTCTTCTTTCTTTTCAGTTCTTCCTCCTGAAACACAAAAACATCTAATAATAGCCAAAACCCCAGATTCCACATCAAAGGCCACATCTGAAATACAGTGATATTCTTACCTTCAGCTTCGACACCAAATCGCGTTCTGTCTTTTTTTGAACAAAATCAGTGATCCAGTCGGGCTCTGCTGAGGAGCTGGTAGCAGAGGGCTGAGCGGTTGAGGTGGAGAGAGCTGCTTCTCCTTCCTGCAGCAGAGTGGCTGCCTCCTGTCTCCTCTTCTCCTCGTAGTCTGTGAGCCAGCTCAGCGCTCCACATATCAGACTCAGAGACTTGCCCTGCATTAAAGGACACACACACTTTGTAACACAAATCCAATCAATAATATCTGATGGCTTCTGCTGTAATCTCTCTTATATGCATGCATACATACACACCGTTCCAGTTGGACTTTCAAAGATGCCAACTTTGCCCTGGTCAAGTGCAGCGTACAGGGCTTGCATAAAGTGCTCCTGGATGTTATAGGGCTGGTATGGAAATGGAAATTGGGCCCTGCCATTCTCCATGCTCATGAACCTCCCTGGAAGATGACATAAGGTTTAACTAGATATAAAACTAGTAGTGCAAGTATTTCAATTTTATCCATCCATCGTCAGCCGCTTATCCTGTGTACAGGGTGGCGGGGGGCTGGAGCCAGTCCCAGCTTACATCGGGCGAAAGGCAGGGTACACCTTGGACAGGACGCCAGAGAAACACACACATTCACACCTAAGGACAATTTTGCACCCACAAGATTCTTGCTGTGAGGCGACAGTGCTAACCACTGGACCACTGTGCTGCCCCTAATCCTCTACATATCGGAGGCAAATTTTGTAATTTTTACTACTCAAATAAATTTATTTGACAGCTATAGTTGCAAGTTACATTAGAAATTAAGATTGTACAAATAAAAACATATGATCAGTTTATAAGATAGGATACTGTGCTACAGGTTTAACTATTCAACAGTACACAAAGTAGTTAAAATGTGCTGGACGTCCCCCAGCTTTAATGTTAACAAATAAACGAGTACATTTTCCACCATTGGATAAAACGTTTCAGCTCAGTTAGGAAATGAGTCCCTGGCTACTTGATGAAGTGAGCAGCACACACATAGTGTTTAGACTGGCTTATGTTAGCAACAATACTTGTTATGTCTAACATGACGCACCAAGGCTGGCCCCAAATTCTGCTTTTGGATTGGAAACTGCTGAGTTCTCGCAAATCAATCAATCCAATATGCCTACATAATTTTACCACAACGACGTAATGATAATTTAACTAAAAGGCTTTTCAATTCGTTTATGTCTGGCAGCATAACATGTCATTTTAAAGGCGGTCACTGCGAGCTGACTGTCTTTAAACGAAAACTTTAACACTAACTTAGCTACCTCGAATTCATAGCTAAGTTATAGCTAACGTTCGCTAACTTAAAACCAACCCAAATCCACTTATTAGCTGAAGTCTTATATCTATACAGAGATGGTTGATATATAAATACTTACCTACAGATATCCTAAATAAGACAGTTAACGTTAATAACGTTACTTCAACTCCCGGCTAACTATTCAACAACCGCGCCAACAGAAGACAGTGTACACAGAATCTGACCAATAGGGGGCAAGATAAAACAAATAGTGTTTGTTTTATAATACAGGACTGCTTGCGTGGACGGGACTATGCACATCTGTTCCATAGTTTTGTCCTTTAGTGTGGGACTATGTGGCTATTACTGAATATCTAAACAAAGTACACAATTCATTATTTATGTAACACAATATATCTGTAAGTCATGCTTTTGCTCTGCTCTTTGTATGTCACCGCCTTTTTGTAAGATGCTTACAACAGATAAGTAACGCCACCAACGCGGGTTAATCCCCCCCCAGTTCCTCTGTCTCTGCTCGAGTCTGGAAAATTCTCTGCCCTTCTATAAATGCTTGTCAGACGTTAGGCTGCAAGACAACGTGGACTTGAAGCAACTTGATCATAAGCTCATATCCTGCTCGGATACAAGTGTGACTGGTGCACAACGATAGCACAATCTCAGCTGTGGCGTGTACTTTATTTACAGTAGCATTCATAAGTGAGTAACGTTAGCTGAGGTTAGCTTAGAGATTTAACCAACGTTGGTGAGCTAGCTGCAGTTGACGAGTCCAATTGTTGTTTGCTGCACTTGGCGTGGTTTGAGAAGTATTTAGCTTTAGCCACCACTACTATTAGCCAGTGTAAATTTGTATTGTTTTGCAGCTCATAGCACGAGGGGGAATTAGCTTCATGACAATGACTGCAGAGGAGCAGACAAGTGAAGGACAAAACGCCATCCCCATGGAAGGAGAAGACATCACACCAAAGAAAGACGGGGGTGTTTTGAAGGTAAATACTAGTGTTTGGCACAGCATATTAATCCAGCTAGCTGAATGGTAAACTGGCTGCGTGTTGTTTACTCATTCGGCCAGGCTAACGTTAGCTGTTGTTAGCTAGGATATCGCTTGTACTGTCAATAACCGCTAACGTTAATGCAAACTAAGCAGAATGTTGACAGCCCCGTAACGCTGTTTATTGAGTTTTCTGTCATTGGTTTCATTGCTAACTTGTTTCCACAATCTAATTTCTAGAAGGTTCTGGATCCCCGGAGAAACGGCTATTAATGCTGATGGGGACACTTAATAAACACACGCGCACGTACGCGTTTGAATGAGACGTTGCAGCTCACGTTCATTCACAATTAAGGATTTGACAGCTTTACTTCTCATGATGCAAATTGCCAAGCTGCAGGCTGGGTGTACAGGACACAAATGTGTGGAACTGGCTGTTGCAGAAATGACTTCTCTGCTTCTTTTTAAATCAGTGTTTTACAGATTTTTAATAAGTTCCCATCTCGCTGTCTGTTTTTCAAGCTGGTGAAAAGGGAAGGCACAGGCACAGAGTTTCCCATGACTGGTGACAAAGTTTTTGTGCATTATGTGGGCACACTTCTGGATGGGACTCACTTCGACTCCAGCAGAGACAGAGGAGAGAAGTTTTCCTTCGAGTTGGGCAAAGGTTGGTTGCCTATCTAGCAGAGGCATGAACGTTCGCCTGCCATAGGTGCACAGCCAGTGTTGGTAATAAGTCTTTTTGTATGTTTAGGTCAAGTCATAAAGGCATGGGACATTGGCGTAGCCACAATGAAAGTGGGAGAGTTGTGCCAGCTCATCTGTAAGCCAGAGTATGCTTACGGATCTGCAGGCAGCCCACCCAAGATACCTCCCAGTGCAACCCTTGTTTTTGAGGTATGTGTCAATGATATCAGGATATTTTGATTATCCATGTTATACTTTAAACCATTTTACTGGGTTTATGGTTGGAATATACAGTATATCTTGATTCTTTTATTGGTGTGAAAAGATACTAATTGACATGTCTGCACGCTTGCAGGTTGAACTGTTTGAATTTCGAGGCGAGGACATAACTGAGGATGAGGATGGAGGAATCATTCGTCGCATTATCACTAAAGGACAGGGATATTCCAAGCCTAACGAAGGAGCTTCTGTTGAAGGTAACATATCCACACTTTTTCAGCTATTTCTTTGCTGACACTGACAGAATTGACCTGCTTGTAGGGGGCGTATTTTTCTTTTCTTTATTTTTTTTTTAAGCGCAAAAAAATAACAAGATCAACATCAACAAAACCATTAATAGGACATGTAATAGTGATTACTTTAATTTTGACTTACTTTGTGCCTGGGTCAAGTGTATATGTATTTAGGGATGCACCTATCTGAGTTTTTCAGTGCCAAAACCAATACCTGGGCTTTGGGTATTGGCCGATGCAGAGTACCGATCTGATACCAGTGTAGACTGAATAAGCTGTATTCCTCACAGTGAGGAAGAGACTGGGAATTATTATTTTGTGTGGAAGGCAACATCAGGTTTGATTTTAAAGGTTGCTTCCTAACTTTGTAAAACAAAATGCTATATTAGCTCTCATAGAAAATGTTTGGGTCTACCGGCGCACTGGTGACTCATGGCATAGTACGCCCGTAATTCACTTGCATAGGCCTCCTTGTCAGCGACACTGGATCCAGCTATTTGAGTCAGCATTGGGCTGAAATCCGATATCCGAATGAAGGTGGCACACTGAGCCTGAGCAACACGTGAATTGATATAGAAATACACGCAAGTGTGCAGGTGCGTATTTCAAACCTGATATTTGATGCCCGAGTAATACAGTCCAAAATCTGACTACCAAAACACTCCTCACTGACCCCATCCATAATGGAGAGCTGAGGCTGGAGTTTGCTTGTATTTATGTTGGTCACAATAGATTTTAGAAATAGCAGGTATAGCACCGTGCATTGTGCCACTTTTACTGTTCACCTCACAGGCATAGAGACGGAAGAGCAAATTTTCACTGCAGATTAACTTTCAAGAGTTCACATTAGCACAAAATGCAGTACTGCCTTCAAACTGGACTTCCTGGTTTCTTATCATCTTCATCCATCTCTGTGGTACTTGTGGGAACACGCTGACACCAACGCTGCTTTTTGTTGGTTTTGGAAAAACAATGCATGTACCAGCTCACAAACCTTGCAGGGTTGTTTATGAGGATTGAAACGGAAGTTGTGCGCCATATTTTGGCAGATTATTAGTGCAATGTATTTTTCTATTTCATTAATTAATACAAATTCCATCTAAAGCAACACGTGACTGGCTAAGGTAAGGTATTAGATTGTACTCTGCATGGAATAATGGAATTATACACTATATAATGCGATTATATGTGAGCTGCCCTGCTCACTAAATATTAGAATCAGCATTGGAAAAACCCACATCAGTTGACCACTAGCAGTTATAGGGATTTTTATGCTATAGATTGTTTTAAGGTAGAGTGGGGTACAGTTTGTCAGAATTGCCATCTTTCAACTGCATTATTCTCTACAGTATAACATACAGTATATATTTAACTCTATCCAGTAATGATTTTAGAATAGATTTGCTGTCATTTAGGATGGGAGAAACGTGTTAACATTTACAAAAGAAACTGCTGTTTTACAAACGTACCACCCTTTGATTGTAGAGGGAGAAAGTTTGGTACTTAATTATAAAACTAATGTTATTGATATTGAGAAGCAGCATTTAAAGTACTAAGTTTGTCAAAAATAGCTTATGTCAGAAATTTGGAATTTGTCTTGGACGATGACATCCTTAATAAAACAAAAGATTTAGCCGGTACTCCTGGTGCGCTGTATTTTGCCGTAATATGCACTCAAAATACTAAAGTATGAAAGAACATGAATTGAGACACCGCACAACAGTCTGTTTTGTAGCACAAGTTAACCCCCAGCATTTTTCAACCCTTTTCAGTTACTGTGGAGGGAACCTACGAGGGACGTGTATTTGATGAGAGAGAATTGAAGTTTGAGATTGGAGATGGAGAGAATCTTGGCTTGCCAGTTGGAGTGGAGAAAGCTATCATGGCTATGGAGCAGGAAGAGGAGGCACTTTTCCACATTAAGCCTAAGTATGATCATGTGTACCAAGACAAATAATTACTGTTATGTTGTTATAGACCCCATAGTGGAGTAATGTGTGGAATATAATTGGGCAATAGAACAATCCCAGTGTTTAGACAAACAGATAACACAGTATCCTACAAGAATTCAGCTACACAATCATCAAATCTACTGTGAAAAATGGGTAATAAAACATGTATACACTGAATTTGAGATACCATTTATCTTCCATTTGTAGATATGGCTTTGGAAATGTAGGAAATGCAAAATACAACATTCCTGGTGGAGCAACACTGCAATACAAAATCAAGCTGACAGCCTTTGAGAAGGTAAATAAATCTTGGCACTGTGTTGCAAACTCAACTTTGCTTTTGTTTTTCAGTAGTTGTGTACAGCGACATTTTTCCCCTCTAATGCGTGATTGTCTGATTTTGTTTTCTTTAGGCAAAGGAATCGTGGGAGATGAACACAGGAGAGAAGCTGGAACAGAGCAGCATTGTCAAAGAGAAAGGAACGCAGTATTTCAAGGTATGCAGGGGTGGTGTTGACAGAGCACACAGCTATAAAGAGAATTCTTATGACCATAAACTTGGTCATGTTTCTAATGCACTGATTTCAAATGCTTCAGGAGGGAAAATACAAGCAGGCGTCAGTGCAGTATAAAAGGATTGTGTCGTGGCTGGAACATGAATCTGGTTTGTCAGAGGAGGACGAGAAGAAGGCGAAAGCACTGCGGCTAGCTGCGCATCTGAACTTGGCCATGTGCTTCCTTAAACTGCAGGAGTCAAACCAAGCCCTAGAAAGCTGTGACAAGGTATGTCTGATGTGTTGCTTATTTTGAATATGGACACATTTGTGAGTGCGAAAAGCCTTAATTCTTTGTTACGTTGAGTACAGTTTGTACAAATGTGTTATATGGGTGGACTGCTTTTCTGATCATTTCAATTGTTTATGTGGTTAAATACTGTAAATGTTTGATTATAATTTGGTCATGATTATAGGCTCTGGAGTTGGATCCATCCAATGAGAAGGCTTTGTTCCGAAGAGGAGAGGCGCTGTTTGGTATGAAGGAGTTTGACAGGGCAAGAGATGACTTCCAGCAAGTTATTCAGCTGTATCCTGCCAACAAGGCCGCCAAGAGCCAGGTATAGTGCCACACATCTTAAAGGATAATTGCAACAACTTTCAAACTGGGTCTTACTTTCTTATATTTTGCCATCATGACTTAAGTTTGTTACAAATCCAAAAAAGGTTCAGGGATCAATTAATGTCTCCCTATTTTGTACAGTTGAAACAAATTTTGCTGTGAGATCATCCACAATGAAACTCTCACATGTATTATTATAGCTGACACTGTTACTGCATGCATTTTCTGGTTGTGGAAGCTACCAGTCTTAGTAGATTATAGGTGGGGACATTTTTGTACACTCTGACGAAGCCCAAGTTGAAACGACTCCCAATTATCTTTCAGCTCGTATCAATTGGTCTTAGAATAATGATTCTGAAGTGCAGTAAAAAAATAAAATAAATCTAAAGTCATTAATGTATTTCATTGTATTATATCTTTTGGTTGTGGCTGTACCTGTGTCACACCTGAAAATATGCTTGGCTAACCTTCCCTTCGTTATATTCTTCCAGGTTGCTCTTTGTCAGAAGCGTCTCAAGGAGCAGCATGAGAAGGACAAACGCATCTACGCCAACATGTTCCAGAAATTTGCAGAGAGGGATTCAAAGGTGAAGGTTTGTGTTTTGTACAACAGCCACCAGAGGGTGAGATAAGCAATGTGTCTGAAAGAGGCTGAATAAAAAATGATTGAATGCTGATTTTGTTTGTTTTTGTCTCTTCATAAACAGAAAGAAGCAGAGAAAGGGAAGAGTGAGAGCAAGGAGAACGGCGAGGATGAGATGGAGATTGGGAACGGGGAAAAAGCGTAGATGAAGATGTGACTATGGTTCATCTGTACTTCAGACTTTTGTAACTTCAGCCATTTGTGTTTAAGGTGTGCCTGTGTGTGTGAGTGAGAGCGAGAATGAGCGTGTCAGCGAGAGCACTGGCTTTCTGTGTGTCCGGGCTTTTTGCTGCAGCAGCTGCACAAGTGGGTGAGGCTTCCCCAGCTGATGGCACTATGGGACGTGGTTTTATTAAATGAATTGTGTGCCACAACCCCATCTCTGAACCCTTTGAACCCACAGCTTTGAACTGTACATGTGTTGGGTTTATTTGTTTTTTATTTTCCAGTGTTTTGGGTAGGAAAAAAGTGGATCCAAATGTTAAATGCAGAATTTCAAACCCTCACCCGTTAAGGGCTAGACCATTCACCTTGCGCTAACCTCACGTTCTGTGCTATCCATCCAACACTCCTCCACGTGGGCCTACTGATCAATTCCTGGAGTTGTGCTGGTTGTGTGCATAGATATGATGTGCCTGTGTCCCAAAGTACGCATGTAGCAGCACTGTGGATAGGTGGAGTAATAAGACGTTAGCCACTGGAGCTCCCCTATAGGCCCCCAGCGTACAGGACTGTTCGCCTTTTACTTTGGAAATATTGACTTTGTACTTATTTCTTTTCCAGTGTTGTGCTTGTGATTTCTGTATTGTTCTTGAAATGAATACAACCAATTGCTTAACTGGAATATGTGCAATTTTAAAGCAGCTAGAAAGAACATCAATTTGCTTCTCCTGGACACGCTTAAGTAATAAAACAGTTAAGTCTTAATTCACTGTAAAAAGAACGTATGAACGTGTGCATATGGCTCATTAGATTCAGGCTGTTGAAGTCAGTACGCCAGAGGAAGATGTGAGCCCTGTTCATTTTAGTTAACAGCACCTGTAGAGTGGGGCAGAAACTGAACCAAGGGGCTAATAGAAGCGAGGTTGTGGGTCGTGTTGAGTTTATCTTCGTCTCTTGGAAGGGTTGCTGCTTGGTGTGCCCTGACAGAAGGATATAATAAACAATAGCTACAACTTGATTGAGTGTGATATTCTTGACTGTTACATCTGTTTCTCACAGTTTGCGGTTACCATTACTTGTCTTGTCTTCTGTTTATTCATTACATCCTCCCGTGACCTGGAAATTGTCCCTCGTGACCCTCCGCCATCACAGAGGCTCTTCTTACAATATCTTAAATGCACCTCCAGGTAAGCTGAGGCTTCTGGAGGAGTTTAGGAGGAAACAGGTGTATCTTATGCAGAAGTCTTTCATGAAGGGGCTGATTTATAAATGTTACACCTCCACATGTGTACAGATCATAGAATCTTTTTAAATTTTTTGACACTTTGTGGTGTATAATCGTGCAGATAGTGCATGCAAATAAATAAATAGCCTTAGTAATCCTAACAAAAAGAAGTTTTGAAATGAATAAAAGCATCTTATATATGTATTATAGGCCTGGAAGAGATATCTAAGATACATAAAGGTTTTGAAATGTTTGTTTTTTTTAAATAAGGGGTTCTGTTTTCTGTCGACATTGAATTTATAGGTCTGTCGAGGAAAATTAATCAGTAACCTCTTTGATAATTGAATATCAAGCCAGACTTAAAAGGTGAAGATTATCTTTCTATTGTTCTATGAATTATAGAGGAAATATATTTGGCTTTGGCGCTGTTGGTCGGACAAAGTAAGAAACTCCAATACATCAGTCAATTGTGGAAAATGTAAATGGCCATTTTTCATTATTTTGTGATATTTTATTGAACATAAACGATTAACTGAGAAAACAATAGGCATATTGATAAAGAAAATAATCCTAGAGGCAGTCCTAACCATGATAACGTTCCATCTGTACAGAATTACTAAAAATCAATTCCACTGTATGAAAACTTAAATGAAATAGCAGCAGCATGTAAGCATTCATATTTTTGAGGCTTTTGTGGTTTGTTTTTCAAAAATGACCCTAGAGTAAAATGTATATTTGCAGAATGTTTTATTGTCTGCATGTCGGACCTAATGTGTCCCTGCAGCAGTCAGGAGGTCAGAGTCTTCTTTTCCCGAGGACAAACAGGATCTGATCTGATCCTCGAGCTCTCTCACAGGGACACCGGTGTCAGCTTACAGACATATAGTCTGTCTCCATTGTGATTACGGCCCAGCACCACTTATTTTCTACAGGTGGATGACATAACAAAAGTGAAGGAGCTATTATTGTTTATTCACAGTATTTTATTTATTCTGGGCTAGATTTTGTTTGCTATGTTTTTAAGATTTTGGGTGGTTCTTTGTTGTGTGTCGCTACAGACGGCTCACTCAGCTTTTTATGCAGGAAGGGAGGTGTAGGAACACCGCTCACCTGAGAGGGTGTAGCAGAAGCTATGATATCTTTGTTCTTTTATTTCTTTTCACTAGACAAATTAATCACAAGAGAGTTAACTCACAATGGACATACAGTTCATATAAGGTGCGTCAACTATGGGATTTTTGTGCCTTTCATTTTGATTATGGACAAAATGCAACAAAAGATCTCTATTGAGATACCAAACAATAAAACCACTCCCAATAAATTACTATTATATTAATTTAGAGTTTATTTGTGGGCTAATTGGTCTGAAATAATTTAATTGCCTAATTATTTAATGGTAAGCAGATCTAAACTTCATGTTTTTTACCATAATTGTTATATAATCAGCTAGTAGCCTAATGTAGCAGTCCAGTGGACAACGTGCTAACGGTTCTTGAAAGGAAATCAAACAATCAAGTCAATGTATAATTATATAACACGGATAAAGTGCGGGTATTGGTAAAATCCGCAAAGGAAAAAAAGCTCTAAAGAAGTATTTGTACACACGACTACCTGTTGCAGGTAAATCCAACAGTTGCACTGCCCACGTTCTCTCCTCCCTCCCTCCCGACTGACAGCGTCATGCCAACTACAATCACAGAGTGTTTCCGGTAGCGGATTTCAAAATAAACCAACCAGTCAAAGAAATATGAACGTAGCATACAACAGTGTACAAAACTATCAGCAGAATATGACATTTTATCTGTAATATACAGTAAACAAAATAAATTGAATCACGTCAATGCGATGCGAGCGTATACGCATTACTGACTTATTTTTGTCACTGTGACACAAACATGCTTTTACTTTGAAGGCGTGCTCTGAGCCGACCTTTGTCTGGCATCTTCTGTCTGTCTTCATGAAGTTGTTGTTGGAGTTAAGCTGGTGTGAGATTTCCCTGCTCACTCCGTTGTTTGACCTGCTTCGCGTGTTGTAGGACTAGCCGGAGCAGAGGTCGGGACGGCGGTGCCCAATGATAAAGATCAACAAGAAGCATTCTTGACATTTTTAGATGATCGGGAGTGCTCGGTGTAGAGTACCTGCTACCACAGGTCAGGGAGGGAGTTTTCGCGGGATGAGACCCAGCAGGGGCAGCACGCACTGGGGATATCCAGGACGCTGGTAGTGCGCAGTGGCGGTTGGCAGGCAGACGGGCTCACAGTGGGGTCGGTCCCTTTCCGATGACAAAGCGGCTGACCCGGCCGATGAATAACTCAGGAGGAGGTTTCGCTCGAGAACCAAGATGATCGCGGCGTTTTTCCCCATTAAGAAACTGCGGCGGAATGTCAGATATTTTCTGTTCGGGGCGATTCTGCTGGTCGGGTTTGTGGCCGTATACCATGAGATGGTGGCAGCGAAAGCATGGAGCAGGGAAACCGGTAAGTTTGTGGTTGCCAGTCAGGATACTTTTAAGACAGGTCTTTCTCAACAAGGGTATTTTGTTTTCTATTGTTAAAGTGATGCATCATTTAGACTGCAACCTGTAACTGATACAACAGCCCAATAATGAAAAGCGAGCGTGGAAATAAGCAAGAATTTGACGTGCATAGGGATTAGGCTGCAGATGTAACTTAGGTTTAAAGAACGTGCAATACCCCATGCATCGAGTGACCACAAAAGCAGAAGAAATTTTCGTTAAGATATGTGCAAAGTTTTTTCCATGTTGTCCAATTCATTAAGAAATATGAAGCAGCACAAATCTTTAAAAAAAACATCCTGCAATAAAATGTAGTTCATTGCCACACCATAAAATGCAGCTTCAAAAAATTATCACAGAGCTGAATCGTCACCTCTCAGTGTCACCAACAGCGTTTTAATGCCCTGTGGTGAAGCCAAAGCAGGTATCCCTGATGTGGACAGTTAATTCCTATTAACTATTTTAAATGACACAAACATAGTATTTGTTGCAGGAATCTAGTACTGGATTACAATTCAGTTTTTAATACATTTTTATGGTCAGTCATGTGGGAAATTCCATAAATTAGAATATATTTAAATTTAAATAACTGTCAATCCACAGATATTCTCTAAAAAGTGTGAGCATTAATGTGATTTATATTCTGCTTTTACTTTTCATGAATGTTGCTGGATGCATTAGCACCGGAAACATGAGCTAGCAGCAGGTGAAACAACAGGGCTGCTTAAAGAGATGGAGCATTGTGTGTATGTGTGTGTCTGTGTGTAAGAAAAAGAGTGAGTGGCTGGGGTCAGATTGCAGGTTCACACTCTCAGAAGGAAGTCCTGTCTCTTACTGGGTAACCAAACTTCCTTCCTTCTACCTTATTTACACCTCAGCTTATACCATCTGTTGGATTGCACTGCACTCACACCACCCAAGTACAACATGAGGGTGTCACCACATGGGTGGAGATCAAAACAGTAAAAAAACAAACAAACAATAGATGTAGGGTTTGTGTCTACCCACAAGAGAGAAATAAGATAACATGACACACACACACACACATTTTGAAGAAAGCCTGACGTGTAAACACATGCCTTAAGACCTGCATTAAAGGGGCTTGCCTATCTACACATTCCTGGGCTGTAGCCCCTTCGTCACAGTGGGACATCTCTCAAGGGAAGGACTCCACATAGACTTCAAACAGAGCTGAAAGAGCAATGTGAAGATCTAAATGTGTCATAGAAGAATGACATGCGGGGTTAGACACACATGTCTAACGAATCAGACAGCATGTTCTTATGCATAAGAACATGCTGTCTGCATCGTTCCATGTGTTTGTGGTGACAAAAGGTATCTAAAGGTGTTGAAAAGCTGCACCAGAAGTGTTCATTTAGGCGTATTTGTGAACGCTAGTTTAGTTAGTTTCGCAATTATTTTGTTTATTTATACTTAGTCAGTAAGCAGACACAGACATTCATAAAAAGCAGTCTTATGACTAACTTGTTGCACCGCTGTTAAACTTCCTTGATTGGGATTCCAGTTTGTTGGGACACAGAATAAAAATGTCACGGGAAAAATACCAGACACGCAATTATTTTTGTTATTACATTATAACCAAGCAGAGCAGGAGATGAAGATAAAACAATGGGGAGATTCTGAAGCTTTGAGACAGTTGAAATGTTCATTGTGATTTAAAAGCGCTGTAACTCAATACAAGCTGTTGCCGACAGTGGTAGATCCATCCATATTTGTATTCTCTCAAAACATTTGTGAGCTTTTTGAAAATGCAAAGTACTGGACTTTTAGATTTAAAATGTAGTACTAAAATTCATCCTGATTATAACTGTTGATTATAGCAGTACTCCTCAACCCACATCACATGTAAACAAGAAACAGATGGCTAGGTTACGTATGGGGATTCAGGCTGCAGATCTTTCTCAAGACATCACAAATTATAATGACACATTCACACACAGGCTTTGATTAAATATTGGCTTTTCATTTAGCTCCATCTGTTAGCACCCGGTCAACAAATGTTTAAATCATAAAGTCAAAGATCCAGTTTCCCTAAAACAACTGTCAGGGACAAATATGCAAAAACTACTTTGCATTAAGCATCATAGATGCATCATTTCACTTTCACCTTCACAACTGGTCGAACTACTCACGAACTAAACACTGTTTAGCTCATTGTTCTAAATTACCTCGTGCACACAGCCATATCCGATATCCTACAACAATACTGTGTGAGCCTTTTTATCTAAAAATAAAAGACACAAAACAGGAGGAGCATCAAACACAATGATGTCATCATAAAACTAGTCGGGCCCCTCAGAGTATCTAACATTAGTAGATTTTAATCCTAAAAAAAGAGCAAATTCACAGTCACGGGCCCAGTGTTACCAAAACTAGAAAGAAGCATTCTCATTGCAAATGTTTAGAGCAGGATCATCTTCATCATCATATACAAACTGTAGAGAACAAACTGAACGATTAAGACTCGTGACACAGGGTACCACAGGAGTGCTCTTTGCTCTGCAGATACAGAGGTCTTTAAGGGATGGCTTGTTTTTCCCACACGTAGGTCACACTGGCACTTAAGAACACAGATAACGTATGAAGTGCTGCAGTTAATAAATGTCCCAATGGAGAAATGGCTGCCTGTGTGTGGATGGGTGATTTTTAAACTTGAAGAAAGCCCTAGAAAACTAGAAGAACAAATTGCAGTTGAGTTAATGATAAGATGACTATGATAATGCTTCTTGGGGGGGACTGTTTGCAATACGCTACTTTCCGATAACTGTTACTATATTGACTATGTAAACTTGCATATTTGACTTTCTATGCTGCATGTTACATAGCAACTTCCCATGTACAATGGTGTTTGTCTAAAATCTTAGATAACAATAACAAATTGTCCTGTAGAAGAAAATTATTTTGGCTGTCATAATAGTTGTGAAGAACCCATTTGTTCTTTCTGTTGTTTAGATGTAATTCCTGTGCTCTGTAGGAAGGCTGAAAGCCTGTAAAGCCCTGCAGCAATTTTATTTCTTTCTCTCAACTTTGAGGCACTGAATTTTACCAAAGCACTGATAGTTATTTTGAAATGATTGGATTTGATAACTGAATTAACAAAATTAAGCAAATTGTGCTGAAAAGGCAGCAGCAGAAGGGGTAAGTAGGAAGACTGGGTGAGTGCAGATGTTAGACAATATTCCTCTCTTTTCTGAACCACCACTCTGGAATTACTTGTGTTGCCAAAATTGGCCCCCATGTCTCAAAGGGTGTGTGTTTGGAGATCTCCACCCTGGTGATAATGACAGACTTGAGTCTACATGCACTGTAACCCCAATTCACTTGCTGACACCACAAGCTCATAAAAAAACCCAGAGGTCCTCTTTTAAAAGACACACTACCCTATAATTTGAAAGATGATGGACGAGGATAGAAGGAATAATATTTCTTTTCGGCTCTGCCAGAGTTCCAGAGATTTTTGCCAACACATGAGTGCCATAGCAGGTCATAGAGGGCTGTGAATTGGATGAGTTACATTCAGTGGTCATCGGCATTGAATTGGAACAGGGAGTGGGTGGGACTCTGTCGGGACACTGGGCTTCATTGTTCATGCTACATAGGCCCACAAGAAATGGATAAAAAAGCATGTTGGAAATCTGGTAACACCTGCAGTGCTTGACTCAACTCGATGCTTCTATCAAGCATTGAGTTAAGAGTTAAGACATTGGGTGTGATTGTGGCCTGCATAGTTTAAGTAATTTGCAATGGTGGTTGTTTTTCTGTGGTTGCAGAAGAGCATTGTTTGTCCACGTTGGCAGCAGCACTGTTTGCATTTCAGCTTTACTATTATACAATGTGTGTGCTTCCCCTTTCCAGCACCCCATCGCAGCTGAATCTGTGAGTTAACTGATTTTCCTCTGCCACAAAACATAAGAAGCAGATCACGACACATGTTATTTTGGGTTACATTTTTGTTTGGAATGAGTCCGGAAGCAAGTGCAAGAATAAAAACTTCTCCCACCTCCTGGGGAAACCACAAATCACAGAAGAGTCCGATGTTTGCACAGTCGCCCTGCACTGCTCTGATTGTTTTTTTTTCTCTAGCTTCAGGTATGTATCCTGACGCTGACAGGAGCAGCTGGAGGAGAGCCATGTTTGACGGAACAGTAAGGACGATGTGGAAAAAGAAGTGGAAATAGAAAATATGGTGACGCAAGGGCGTGTTCTTGGAGGGGTGGTGGAAACCAAGCTAAAGTTAGTCTTTTTAATATGTGTGTTTCCCAGGTCGGAGGGGGCCGTCAACCAGACTCTGTGGAGGATTCAGCTGCCTGGAGCTCCAGCTACATTCCACAAACCTGGAAACCAGAGGTGTGTGTGAACACTGAATAACCTGCCCAGGCCTGTCCAATTCCCTCCCACCTCAATGCATTTGCCTCTGTGTACACTATATTTCCTGCAGCAGAGTCGGCTTCAGAAGCTTCCTTTGCTCTGTAGTAGGGGTCATCATATTTCAACTATATTAAGCAGTGCTACGCTTTGGCCAGTTGCTTGCACCTCATATTTCACTGTACATTTTGTCAACTGTCACTGATTTATACTGTTTATGCCAGGGTCGTATCCTATAATATCTGTCACGTTTTCTATTTTATGGCAATAATGAGTCCACTTCATTTTTTGCACCAACGTGATAAAGTTACTTAATTTTGTTTTCATTGAATTAGCCAAAAACAAGCATTACCATCTGTTTTTGGATCTATAAATTAATTTAATTTTAAAAAAGCTACTAAACCACAATTCTAGGGCTGTATTATTTTCATTATTTATTCTTCTGCTGAAAATGTTTTCAATTAACTGATCAGTTGTTTTTGTGTAAAAAAAAAAAATAATAATGTCAAAAAGTAGTGAAAAATACCCTTCACAGTTTCCAAAGTTCAAGGTGATGTGTTTAAATGTCTTATTTTGTCTAACCAACACTGCAAAACCTAAAGGATTCTCAACTGACAAACACAAAGAAAAGCAGAAATATTATTATTAATAATTGTGAAGCTGTAACTATGGGGTGTTTGACAAAAATTTCTTTAACAATTAATAATAAAGATCAAAAAAGTTGCCAGTTACGAATACCATTGTAGAAGACTTCACGTTGCACACTTCTATAACTAAACATGTTTTACATCAAGTCAGAGGGTGTTAAAGGTTTGTGTACATGAGCAATGTACACGGTATATTTACAGTATATTGTGAAGTGCAGTAATAAAAGACGCTTCAAAACCGAAAACGTCCAACTGAAGTCTCAGAACATGCTGAGAATACAGAAGTGTAGTTTTAGCACTCTACTGATTGGAAGGGAAAGAAGGGGGGGGGAAATGCCGCAGAGCCATGGTTAAAATAGAAGATTGAGCTTGACTCCCAGTGAAGTGGCCTTTAATCACAGACCTGGAAAACAGAGGGAAATAGACTTGTTAAATCATTACAAGCAAAGCAGGCCCTGTGGAGTGCTCTGAGTCATTATTTTACAGCTTTTTGTCTCTGGTCTGAACCTCATCGCCGGGGGTCATGCTAACATTTAACTACCTGTGCTGATGACAGCAGAGTGTTTAGCTTTACTCCTAATGAAATCTGATGAGCTACCGGACTGGTAGTACTGAGGCTTTGGCTCTTACCTGCATTATACTGCCCCTGTGCTGCAATCAGCACGCACAGATCAGATAACATGGCCTCTTTGGCAGATGTCATACAGGTGTATGTTTACAGGACATATGGGCCTCTGCTGGCTGAAACTCAACTGCTTCTTTATTTACGTGTGTGTATCTGTGTTACTGAGTGTTTCCTGCAGACTTTCATTAACACTATTAGAGGTATGAGAAATTTGACAGCAATGTCCACTATCATCCAATTCCTGTGATCCAACCCTCTAACTGTGTATAGATGCACTTTAAAAACACAAATTACATTAAAAAAGTTTTTCAGAAAATGTGCCAAGTTACCCTTGATAATCCACAGAACACACTGATAAAACATTTTATATATAGGGACTATTTCTTTGGTAGTTCCAAAGAAAACGCCACAATCACTTTAGTTGATTATCCAATGTAATAATTTTCTGTAAAAGAAAAGTTTTTTCATGTATTTTTATTATGCTGTGAGCAGTGTTGGGCAAGTTACTCAGAAATTTTAAATTATAATATTTTACTAGTTAGTTATTACTCCTTAAAAAGTAATATAATTAATTTAGTTATTACTGGGTGATAAAAGTAAGTAGTTACATTACTATATTACTTTCCAGTGTTTCCAGTTTGTGTTAGGGGGTTATTCTAAGGTTTGATAGGTGGAGTATGTTTTTATATAAGCATATAGGCCTAACGTTTCTTAACGCCACCGGCTGAAATAAAAAAAATAAAGCAAGTACATTCCGACTTTCAAACAGCGTTTTTTCTGCACATGTAGCCTGTTTATAAGAGCAGTCTTCAGCAGTTACAAAACGTTACGTTAACGCCACTCTCTCCCGACGAGTCCAAGCATCAGTGACAGAAACTGCCGAGTTAGTGATGTGCTACACCACTTAATTCCTAGACGATCCAATACCAAGTAATACCCAGGCTGGTATTGCCGATACCATACCAATACTTTTTACATATTTTATTTCTAGTTGAATGTGACCTCCCCCTCCCGTTTCTGCATTTATGAGAGAAATAAGGTGTAGGCTGTAGTCTTACCAATTCAAAATAATAGCTGCATAAAGACAAGACATCAAACTACAGTCATATTCTTTAATTATATTAAAAATTTCCTGCTCAGAACTGCCGCTTCGTAACATCATCCTATTATTGTGACAGACTTCATCTCGGTTGTTTAGCGAAGTTTGCGGTGTTGCCAAACTATTTCACTGTCTTTGCACACACATCACACAGAGCAACATTATTACCTTCACAGCTAAAAACAGCCAGACCTGGCTGTTTTTACAGTCAGCCAGAGTCGGTATTCAATTGCAGGAAATGTAAAGGGCTGCAGCGGCTCACTTCAAAGAAGCTCCGTCACAGAGCCAAACATGACTTTGACAGGCGGAAGGACAAGTAGTTCCTATCAACAGAGCATAATTAGACCATCCTGGTGACCGTAAGATACTTAACTACTTATAAGACACTAGACGACAATGTTCTTTGCACCTTAGAGTGTGACAAAATAATGGCAGTAGCTACGTACAACTGTGGAAAGAACGACTCTCTCCCTCGTCCTCCATTCATCCTTTAGTTTTTACCTCTCGGCGACATTAACAACAAAGTCCGGTGTTAGGCCGAGTTTTGCCTGCCTGCCGAGAATTGCATGCACCTCCAAATAGCCTACTGCTTTTAAACGCTAATGATATTCTTTGTGGGGTCCATCAATGGTGTTAAATGATTCGAAGTATATATTTTATGAACGTTTAGAGTCTGTAATATTTTAATACACTTAGTAGAAGTAGCCTACTATTACTTGACATTCACTAAATATAGGCCTATGTGGTGATAACGCCATTTGATCAATGAGCACAGCAAAGTGTCTGAAAAGGACCTAAAGAGGTGGATGCATAACTCGGCAGATCAAATTTTGTAGGCTACCTGCCAAGATTTGCAAGCACCACTTTTCTCAGCATAAATGACCGTTATCACCTGCGAGGTGCATGCAATTCTCAGCAGGCAAGCCGGTGTTCTGTAGATTTATGCTACCTATCGAGATGCGCTACTTAAGGGTACCACAAGCGTGGTTTGTTTCCACGCCCATAAATCTGCAACCTTGCTGTTGGGAATGCCGTCCAAAAAAAACCAAAAAAACCATTAATAGTCTATCAGAATACGCTCCCCCTGAAATGATGTTATAATATAATCAAAAAACAGAATATGTCATAATACTGTGAGAGTTATAAAACTTTATGGGATTGGAAAAGGGAACACATAAGGTAGCATTTTTCGATAGGGCAGCATAGATCGTCAGAACACCAGTCCCGCTGAGCTGCCGCACAGTGGTGGATTTACGTCAAGGATGGTGCGTTCAGTAACGAGTAACGCAGAGTTACTTAAAAGTTAAAAGTAATATTATTAGTGGCCCAACACTGGCTTTGAGTACTACGGACAAAAAACGAGTAATGCAGAGTTACTTCCCTGGGGTAACTAGTAATAATACCGTTTTAGAAAAGTAATTAGTTACAGTACTTAGTTACTGGAAAAAGTAATATTATTAGTGGCCCAACACTGGCTGTGAGTACTACGGACAAAATTTCATCCACCTGTATTGGGGTGGAGGCAGAAATGTTAGTGGTGGAAATCTTAAAACCTGAGCAATGAAAATCAAAACTATTTGCTAATATACCACTAAAGATAAATGTGTTTAATTTGGGTGAACAGACTTGTTATGACCCAGCTCGTTAAGGTAAGGCAGTAACAAGTGATGTGGGATAGAAATGAAGGTGGCAAAAGGACAACTGAATTCTGGTTAAAGTCAAAAGTTTAATTAAATGAGTTGACTCAAGAAAACACAACAAAAAGAGGCTATTTAGGTGCTGACAACAAAAAGGAGAAACAAAAGAGGGTCTTGTCCAAAGACAGTTACTCTGCTCAAAAAACACTAAAGAACAAAAGGAGGTCAGCACCTATATGCTTTACAATAATGCAAAGTAAACAAACAAGCAATGCTCAAACAAAAGAGCGCCCAACACTTGGTGCACTATCACACTATGTGATTTACAAAGGGTCGAACTGACTGAAGCCACTTAAACAGGCAACAGACAGAAACAGGAACTACAAACACTCTAGATATTCACTACCTTACAGAGGTACGCAACCAACAACAAGGCGAACTGATCACTGGCTCAGTCGCCCTGAACTGTGGACACACAAACTATTTGTAGTCCAGCTGGTGTTGATTGGAGAGTCCTGGTTGGCAGGGTCGGTGGAGTCACAGCCACACCAATCACAGACGCCAGACACCAGCAACCAGGAAGTAGGCGGTCCCAGCTCCAGAGGAACCGATCCTCGACAGGAACTCCCACAGCTGGGATTTGCATGACAGCCAGAAGCACTCATGATCACAATCACTTTAAGGCAGCCAGTGGCGGCTGTAACAGACTCTTTAAGCAAGACATGTCTGGACACAGGAAGAGGGGTGGATCTCAGGATTGGAGTGACAGTTGAAACCTGTAGTCCTGTATTGTCAAGTGGTATAAAGAAACCTGTATTTGTTTGGATTTAGTTTGCTAAGTACAGAGGCCAGATGGTTAATTGCCCCACTGCTGACTGACTGCAAAATAAACACCGGTGTTATTTGTCTTCGCTCTCTTGTCTTCCTGCAGTACAAGGGACAGGCCAATCTGCACGTCTTTGAGGATTGGTGTGGCAGTTCGACGGCTGACCTCTTCAAGAACCTGCACTACCCACTGTATCCTCATGTGAGTCAAACCCTTATCTTTTGAGTTCACTCAGCATAATTGACATTTTTAGCAATGCTAGCAACATGGCGATGTTGGCCGTCGGTGCACCGCTCAACAACTATTAAATACATTGCCACGTAATGTTGCACAGACATGGTGCTGAGTGGAATCCTACTGACTTTAGCGTGAGGATGATATTTGTGGCTTTGAGTGAAATGTCTCTCCACAACTATTGGATGGACTGCTCACGACGCTGAAGTTAGTATCCAATTCGCAGCTTCCGATTCGGCAGTTAATGATAACTAAAGTTGCGAGCGACCGATTCTCCGTTTTTTGAACCTCTTACTGCTGTGAAAGTTATGCATTTTAGACAAAGCCTTAACGCTGTCTGAAACACTTTTTTTAGATTTGAAAAAAATGTATTTTAGACCAGGGCCAGATCCAAAACCACTATACCTAGCGGTCTCAAATCTGGACTAGATTGTCCCAGAGAGGCTAAAGAGGTGCAAAAAAACGGAGAATCGGTCGCTCGGCAACGTAAGTTAACTTTCACTTAACTGCCGAATCGGAAGCTAACTTCAGCATCGTGGATTGCTCTGAAATTTGGTACACATTCAAGCTTCCCCTCACGGTGAATTATAATAACTTTTGGTGATCCTTTAGCTTTTCATTCAGCTCAAACATAAAATCAAAACTTAAATTACTCAAATATTTTGGCTTACGACCACCTGCAAAAATAATGACATTCCTGTCGGTCTCAGCTGTACTGTGAAGTGCTAATCAGCAAATGTTTGCATGCTAAAGGCTAAAACGCACTAGACTAAGATGGTGAACAAGGAAAAACACCTACTAAACAATAGCATGTAAGCATTATCATTAGCTTTGTTGCAAATCCATTCTGCATACTAATTATATACAGTAAATACTACACACTAATTATCATAGTATGCTATTTAAGCTGTTACAGCAGTAAACAGAAATGACATTTAAATTAATCAAATCCTTATTTTTTTGTTTTCAATGATTTTTGGAACTGTTCCGGTCACACTTTATTTAGATTTTCTTTTCAGCTTTGAGCTTCTTACATTTACATTACATTTGTTTATTTAGCTTATGTTTCTATCCAAAGCGACTTACAATCGATATATATGTCAAAGGTCACATGCCTCTGGAGCAACTAGGGGTTAAGAGTCTTGCATTTCCTTTGTGCACTGTATTGTGGAAGAATAGTGTGCATCAACAATGCACTCAAAAAACAACAATATTTAGTCTGCTTTGAATATACTTTATATTGTTACTTTTCCAATTTGAGCACACTACATGCAAAAAACCTGCTTAGAATCAGTATGTAGTATGGATTTTGGACACGTCATGTTAGCATGCTGATGTGACATTAGCATGATTTAGCTGAAAGCACCGCGGTGTCTATTTATAGCCTCACAGAGCTTCTCGCATGGCTGTAGACTCTTGTTAGTTTCTAGTCACTTCATGGTGTGTCTTGGTATTGAGTGTTATAGATCTTTAGCAACATTTTCTTTAGAAATCTTTCTTTAGAATCTTTAGAAACAGAAAAACACTTTCCAGGGAACTTTTACACCAGAGGACAACAAGATCAACAAGTTTAATGAAGTTACACAGTTATCATTTATCACCTTCTCATACATGGTTTTTAAAAGATAATGCTCTACTTGTTTAGAAACTGAGTGTTTTGTGTGGCAAAGACTGCACACACTCTGACACCAGTGTAGGCAAACACACACACTCTCTCACACACACACACACACAGTTGTTGTCACCCAGAGGTGCATTCTACATCCACGTGCTAGATCCTCATGTCCCCGGACTCAAGATGTAGTCTCACTTAGAGTAAACATCTTGGCTGATTCTCTTTAACTTTCTTTGCTCTTTCAGTCCAGGACTACAGTGCAGAAGCTGGCCGTTTCTCCTCAGTGGACCAACTATGGGCTCAGAATATTTGGTTATCTACATCCATATGCTGATGGTACAACATGCACTTTTTCATCTAGTTCCTGTCTGTTACCATACCGAGTACATTCATGGTATACATGCCCCTTTATCTCTTCCTCAGTAAGTCTCTTTATCACCTCAATTTTTCTTCCTGTCTCTCAGGAGAATTTGTGTTTGCTTTGAGCTCTGATGACAACTCTGAATTTTGGCTCAGCACAGATGACTCTCCCCTCAACTTGCAGTTATTGGCATGGGTTGGAAAGGTATGCATTTTTGTCGTTTTCTGAGGTGGTGCAGGGTCATTTTCTCTTACTTGTCTCTGTAATGTTTGTTTGCATGTGGGTTTTCTTTTTCTAGACTGGCAAAGAGTGGACAGCCCCGGGCGAGTTTGAAAAGTTTGCCAGTCAGACCTCCAGACCAGTTCGGTGAGTTGACACAAGACTAGATTTTATTGTCTGATGAGCTGATGTCAGTATAGATGACATGTGGTCTATTATTTGTGTAATAATTAACCCAGTTCAGAGACAGTCTCTTTGCCTGACCAGCATGCACAGCTGTTTAGTACTTGTGCACTGTTTATACATTGTTTTACATTACTAGAGGCCGTGGTGGGTGCACAGATACCAGCATGAGTCCCTTCCATTTCAAACCCATGAGAAGAGCACGTACAAAACAACACAGACAGAAATCTCTCACACAAATATTCCAAACTATCCTAACTTATACATGTGTTTTTAACTGTCCTCAAATCTCATATCATTATCCCAAACTTAAGGGATTTCTTGACTTGTCATGAGGAGTATTACTTCTGTGAAAACAGTTGTATAACATATAAACAAAAAGATGCTGTGGAGTTGCACAGTAGGAATTTGTAGGATTCAGCATTTTTAAGCGTTTGATTCATATAAGGGGCTAAAAGTCAAGACATGGCAGCCTCTGCTGAACCAATATTGACAAATTCTTTCTTTTAATCTTTCTTTTTAAGTGTAAAACTAAATTGCAGTAGTACCCCTTTAATGACATCATACCAATGCCTAAATTTACAATTCACTAATCTAATAAACCAAGCAAAGGCATTTGTATGTATATGCCCTTCTGGGAATCCAGCCTAGAATTGTTGCTACTGTAAAAACTCAAAATTACTGTTATGACAAAGATGCTGGTTAGACTGTTTCTAACTATTACTCTTCATAGCATTATTGCTGACCTGCTGGAACACTTTGTCACAATGTGTGGGTGTGGTTCGCTGTAGCTCTGCAGGAAATCTTGTTTTCTACACAATCTCGACAAGCTTGATGAGTTGCCGACCAACAGCGGAAAATGTATATCAACGTAGATCAACACTTGAGTTTATGTACATGCAGCCTTGTTTGTACTGAATATTAGATTATTGTTTTATTTTACAATATTTTAATATGCACTAGTGTTAAGTTTGTCAGGATTTTTAAAATTTAGTCTTAGTCCTGTGTCAAATGTCCTTGTTAGTTTTTGTCATATTTAGTCCACTGTATACTATTTCTTTTTTTTTTTAAATCAAGTTTTAGTTGACTAAAAGGCTGGGTATTTTAGTCATTAACTAGTCTTTTCTAACTCATTAGTATAATTTTGACTAGCATTTTGCTGCTCTAACTAAAATGGAGAAATGTATCATTTTAGTCTTTATTTCACTCATCTCACATTTAGATAAATTGTTTTGTAAAATTTTAATTTCAGCATAAAATTCAGCATAAAATTCATTCATAATTCTTATAAAGTTTTTTTGTCCACCTCACTGTATTTGAAATAGGATCAAATATCTAAGCACCTCTTTCTCTCCTCATGTTGTGTTCATCCCCAGAGTTCGCATCCTCCACAGTACAGTAACGTTTTCCTCGCACACCAGGCGTCACCCCGGTCAGCCAGCATTCAAAGCACACGAAGAAAAAAATGCAGCTGAATGAACACTGTTTGAGTGAAAATTTAGAGGGAGAAAATGTGGCCTGTAATATCTTGTCTCCTCATACTGACAAAAAGAAAAGCAGATTTATTTTTATTTTATGAATTACATTTTAGTGTCATCATTTTTCGTCAACAATATTGCTTGTTAATATAGTCAGTCAGTGCTTAAGTACATTGACGCTGTCTCGTCATATTCTCGTTTTAGTCGGGGGAAAAAACGGTCGTTGACGAATATATTTTGTTTAGTTTCGTCTGACGAAAGTAACACTAATATGCACATAGTGTAGCTTGAAGGGACTACAAATTTCATTTCATTATACAACCTTGTACCATGTATAATGACAAATAAATAACCTTGTACCTTGAACAACAACACTGCAGGTAATGTAACTAATGTTAGCTAGGTTGTGGGTTAGCAAACTGTCGGGAAAGTGATTTAACATTACTTTAAACACAAATAAAAGCTAAATTAGTGTTGTGTGGTCCGATTCCCATTTACAGAGCATGGGCTGTGTACAAACACACACCAGCGCAAACACACAGAATGGACAGCTGGCAGACCGCGAGGAGATATTTGCTGAATATGACAAAAAGACATGTATTGATTCTAATCACATACCCCACCTTTAAGAGGGAGACATTATAACTAGCGGTTATAATTGATGTATTTGTTCTCTATGAGTCTGGTATTTCCTGGAAGGGGACAGAGCCACACCACCCACAATGACACATACATACATGGAGAAATCTGGAAAAATTTAGTACAGGAAAATGAAACCAATATAATTAAAATTAATAAATGAAACCTACAGAAACATATTCAGAGAAAACAAAGAGTGCAATAGATATATTTTTGCACAGTGCCCACAAATAACCTAATTAATAGTATATAATAAAAAATATATAATATACACAGATATTTATCTGACCATGGAAGCTATTGAAGTCTTACAGAAGAGCTGCGAAAGCAAACCAGGACCCACAGAGCTACATGATTGTATTTCGTTGGAGAAACATTTTAGGTTGTGTCTGATGTCACTGTAATGTAGTGCTAAATATGAACTTTTACTGTCTGACAGACTGTCTGCTCAGAGGAGGTACTTTTTTGAAGTTATTCACAAGCAGAACGACAGAGGGACTGACCATGTGGAGGTGGCAGTAAGTAGTTGGACTCATCAGCAGCCATAGAAAATGTCCTTGTTTCTTTGTCTCATTTCTTTGGTTCCAACTCTCACATCAAGTCTGTGCTCATTTTCATGTGCAATGTGAGTAATGAAGTGGAAGACACATGCAATTCTTTGTGTTTGGTTTCACACAGTGGCGGCACCTGGACCAAGATTTTAGGTTTATGGTTATTGAATCCAGTCACATCTCCCTCTATGTTAGTAAGTACACAAAACCCCATGCATCATTCAAAAAAATCGCTTGGTGAATATGTAGTTGTCTAGACTTGGGGTAAATCACATAATCTAAGACTGTGTGCCTTTTATTATTCTGCATAGGTGCTCAAGCCTACAACTCAAGTCAGTGGTTTTGTTTCACAGTAAATACAGAGCTCTTCTCTAATGCGCTGTGGCTTCATTTTACAGATGAGTCTGCCTTGTTAATCAGTGACGTTGCCCACATACCACAGACGGCTGCAAGCCACCAACACACCCCCACAAAACAGCGCGGTGCTGCAGCAGACATGCTGAGGGAAGACCTGCGAGACACTCTGCACCAAAGTGAGATCTCTTTTGGTCTAGTTCTTTGCCACACGGCAGATGAATCACCCCTCCATTTCCTACTATCCCAGATGCAACTATTGCGAAACTTTCCTCCTACTTAATGCACAAAGTAATCTTATTTCACATCTTTGTGTTGTATTGGTTTGCAGTTCCTTTGATAAACAGCCATTTCCTACAAGATGTTCTGCCTGACTGCTCGTACAAACCCAGCTACATAATCAAAGACTTTCCTCTGCTCCGCTACCAAGGACTACAGTTTGTATGTATTTATATACCAAAGTATAATTTAATTTCACTTACATTCTTTACTGGTTGAGTTCAGGCTCACATTATTTTTCAGAGCTCATCATTCAAACAAAAAATGTCCTGAATACAGTGTTGAAATTAGAAAGAAAACAAGATAACGCAGAGGACAATTTGTCTTGTTTGTGTTGCCCCAGAATATATGAAAAGGTTACTTAACCATCTATTAGTTAGTTACGGCCCTGTCTTATTTTCTTTTGAAGTTTGTTCCCGTTGTGGTGAGCAGTGTTGTCTGTTTGAGGAAACTAAATTATGCCAGTATACATAATAATTCTAAAGACCGATTTAAAGGCATCAGACATGCTGCACCCATTAAAAAAACATTTAGTAGCACAACTTCTGATTTCTCTCATTTGATTCTACGATCTTTTATAACAAAGTCTGATTTTTCTGACTTCCTGGAGTCTTTGCTGGTTGCCTGACAACCTCATTGTGATGACAAGACTTCAGGATGTCACTGCCTGGCCAGGAAACAGTCCTGCACACAACCCCCATAAGACCTTAGCGTGTCGTTTTCACCCTTCTGTGTGTTTTACAGATTAAACAAAAAAACAACAACAAAAAAACATTAATTAGTGAGCTTTACATTTCCTGGAAGGCTGATTTTAGTTTTACCTTTGAACGGAGCCAGGTCAGCTGTAGCTTTATAAGTATGGGATGGATATCATGTAACTCACGAAAAGAGAGCAAATAAGGGAGTGAACATTTCTTTCAATTAAGCATATTTTAGTTTCATAAATTATTTAAAACTGAACCTTACTTCTCATCCGTATCTGTTATACACTATAAAACAAGAACAACCCTTGCAGTATGTCCTGTTTTCATCTAAACTCTGCACTCACCTGTTTGACCCATGCTGACAGGAAACCCTTATTATACAAGATCTCATGATTCATCAGTAAGCTCTTCAACAGCAGGTCATTTTGTTTCATCCCTCCAGGTACACATGTCCTACATCTACCCCAATGACTACACCCGACTCACACACATGGAGACAGAGAACAGCTGCTTCTACTCCGAAAGGCCCTACTACATGAAGATGTGAGACCTCACAATAAATGCTAAATGAAAAATACACACAGTAGGGCAGAGCACAGTTGGAAGTAGGTTTACAATTATCACCAACAGAGGGTGCTGTATCCTTAAGCCAAGTGAGAAACTTTTTCAGATCAAATAGTTCGTTTTTAAGAGATTCCCATCTCGAAAATAATTAGCATTCTTAATGTATATATTAAAGAAATGTACGTCTTATAATTCTTTGCAAAATGTTGTGTCTCGTCTTCAGGTTTGGTTTCTCAAGATATATGAGACTAGACCGTCCTGATATGGAGGAAAAAAGAAACACAGGCAGAGGTATTGTGTACTTCCCTTTTCTTAAAAAAAAAAAAAGTTAAGTCAGTCCATTACACTCAACTTTTCTGTCTCTGCTTCTGGTGAATGTTAGATTTTGGTTTCCAGAGGAGGAAATACGTGCTAGATGAGGACGGGTTTGACATTGAAGCCTATCAAAGAGAAAAGGAAGACAGGCTGGACCAGATAGATAACGGCCTTTTTCCAGACTATGGCGATGATTATGATGACTATGTTCAGAAACGCAGGCGCAAACTCTTCTCCTTAGTCATGCGAGAAACTAACAACACGCTGATGAACACCTCTGACACAAGACTGCCGCGGACGAGTTGCAAGGGAGGCAAGGGAAAGACGGTGTCCCACAGAAACCAATTGAGCCTCCGCAGTCAGTACCAACACAACCCTCAAAACATCACCTGCACCTGCAACGGAACCAGACAAAGTTAAAGCTAGAGGACCGTGTTAAAAACGTAGAACAGATAAAACCAAAAGGGAAGTCAAAGCCAGCAAAGAGACAAAAGCTCTCATCAGAAGGGACAGCTCTGAGACGAGGACAGACAAATCCACCGATGCCAGAGGACAGAGAGCAGCTCAAAGAACATGAACGACCAGCAGTCCCGTCAGAGCAGCTCAATTCTAAACAGCGTCATATCCAGAGGTCCCGTAAAGTTAACCATACCCAAATCCAGAGAAACAAAGGCTTGAAGCTTCAGCCATTGGAGAGGGATCTTCTTCTCCCTGACAAACCCAAGCAGCGGAGGTTTGTAACAAGAGGAATAGAGCTCCAGCCACCCACCAACAAGCGTTTTACCACTCCTAAGAGAGACATCAACAGCCCTTCAGTAAGGCTAAATCAGAGGGACAGAAAACGCCTCAGGTATAAGGAAATAGAGATGAACATGCCTCTACAGCAGGATCTAGAAGATGGCATCCACAAAGCAAAGAAGAACACTAGAGGCGCATACAAAAATTGGTTGGATGTGAAAGGAGAGCAGGACCGAGCGGGGGAGGAAGACGAGATTCGCAACAGGGCTGTGGGCAGGAGAGACGTCAGGGGGGGTGAGGGAGACTCTCTGTGGGAACCAGGAGACTTTGAAGGCGTGGATGACGAAGACCTCACCCCTGCACCGGTGTTTGACACTGAGGTCAATTGGAACCAGACGTTCCAGATCAGCCACCTTGACCTTCAGGCAGAGCGTTCTGATTGGATCGACCTGCGGTGCAACGTGTCAGGCAACCTGCTGCTCCACTCCAGTGACGCTCTGCCCATTGTCAAGGCTTTCATGGACCAACTCAACGAAAAGCACAACGGGTAAGTACTGTATTTCCATATGCACCTTTGCCAGTAAATCACCCTTTATTTATTATGTTTTTCCATTACATCGAAAATGGGTAAATTTGATAATTGGTTAATTGTTTAAGTCCATTTCAGTCAAAAATGCTCTGGTTCCAGCTTCACAAATGTGAATATTTTCTGATTTTCTTACACTTGTATCATAGTAAACTCAATATCTTTGGGTTTTATGGACTGGCGATCTGATAAAACAAGACATTTGAAAATATCACCCTTTTACAGACTAAACAAACAATCTTACAATCGAAAAAGTCATTATTCGTTAGCTGCAGCCCTACACGTATTTCTGCAAGATTTGAAGTAGCCTTCTCACATTTTTTCATTTAATAATATAAGAGGCCTGAAGAGATAAAACTCTCTAATACTTTACCAAAAAAGACTACATTAGTGAAAAGCCTTAAAAAATTAACACAATTTGGTGTTAATTAATTAGTTAGTTTTCCTGTCCTTGCAGAAAATCGAAGAAATCGAGAAAACAACGAGTGCAGCAGATTGTTTTTAAATTTGTGCAGTACCCAAAATAAACTCTAGTTAATAGAGGGAAAATGTAAAATGTCTGCTTGATCTGCTCTTTCTTGAAGCCTTTCAAGAGGCTTCAGAGAAAAGAGACTGATACAGATTTTTATCTGACCAGCCTTTTTGTACACTGACAATGAACTCCTTTCCAGTTTTATCATCATGCAACTGCTCAGATTTATCTTTAACCCGTTGGTGGGGGAACCACTGACCTAAATGAAAAATGAGTTTGGGCATGTTGAGAAATTATCAAGAAAAAGCTGCTAGGTTAAGAATTTCTCTTGCAACATGAACATGTCAAATTTTGGAGTCAACCACACTTACAGTATGATTAAACAGCAAGTGCATTCAGGTGCATAGTTTGCGTAACTGTTTTGCAGCACATTTCACCATGTTTCTTTGATTCCCTCTGACCTTGCAGGCGGTTCACATTGGTGAGGGTGGTTAACGTGGTGAAGCGTATGGACGGCGTCCAGGGCAGCAGGTACCTTCTGGAGCTGGCGCTAAAAGATGTGAATGGCCAGCTGCTGCGGCTATCACACTACATCTACACTCTGATTCACCACAGCAGGCGGCGCAGCAAGGACTTCAGTTTCCAACCGCCGAAACCTCAGCTGGTACTGTGTAACCCAGTGGGCTTCCGCTGGAATCCTGCTGCCACCGTCCACTTCATAGTACCGGGTACATCCACCTTTTACTCATTACAGCCATTACATTCACCAACTCCTTCTTTATCCTTAAACTCTGTTTCAACTTTTCCTATACTAAGAAATGCTCACCAAGTTACTTGCGTGTTAAAGTCAGACACATGACATATTATCATAATTGATGACAAACAATTCACAAGCATTTTAGAAAACAACCATGTGGGAAGCTTTTCAAACACAAGATTATCCTCTATATGTCAACATTTACTACTTACAGTTCTTTAGAAAGTACAGTATTGATGTTCATAGGCGTTTCCTAACCAGAGTCCTTGCCAGTATTTCCTTAATTAAAGGAATGCCTCTGTTCAAAGCTGTGTAAAGACTCGGAGCTCTGCAGACTTTTTGCAGTGATGCAGTGATCCATATATTTACTTGAGTAAATTTTTGACAGCCTGCTCATGTCAACATTGAGTCTAGAAAGTTAATATTGCAATATTGGTTCTAGATAACAATTTCAATAGTACCTTTTCTCTGTTGTAAAACGCTTGCATGCTATTTATAACCCTTTTCGGTGAAGTTGCTTTTAAAAAATTATGTTAAGGAAAGTGTGGTTACACATTGATTTGATGACCCGCCCCAAAAAGTGCAGCAAAGAGTTTCTACATTTTGTCTTTGTCAGATGTAATACCTGTTGGCGCATAAAGTTTGTTGTGGGAGTATGACATGCCTTTTTCTTGATTTTGCTTTTGCCTTTTTGACAATGCACCTGATATAATTTTGGAATGTGCATGCACCTCTTTGTGGCTTTATCTTCTAAATTGTTATTTGTTGTTGTTCTGTGTTTTGGTGAAATGTTAAGGCGTTTAGGTATATGTAATACATTTGATAACCAGTACTCAAACACAACACATAACTCTTGATAGTTGAATGTGGTGATGAACTCACTAACAAACAGTGAAGTGAACTGATTGTGGCTGTAGTTATTTCAAGCACACAGGCCTCGCTTTTGTCTATTTATTCATTACCTAAATAACTGATCCTTTGTACGTCTTTCTCAGTGAAAAACCAGGCTCGGTGGGTGAAGCAGCTGATTGCTGACATGGAACAACTGTTCAGAGAAACTGGAGATGCCAACTTCAATCTCATCATCACCGACTACAACAGCACCGACATGGATGTGAGGAAGGCTCTACAGAAATCCTCACTCCCCAGGTGTGTGTTTGTGTTTCACTTTTACAGAGTAAAACATTCATTACACGATATGTGTGTACTATAATTATGCCTGTGGAATTGATCAGGTACCGGTATGTGAAACTGAATGGAAACTTTGAGCGCTCTGCTGGTCTGCAAGCAGGTGTCGACCTCATAAATGTGAGTATCGCAACATGACTCGTCAGTAAAGTATCAAGATGAAGTAATGAATGTATGAATAGACAGACTGATAATGAATATCTTTTGTATCTTTCCCTCCTCGTTCTCCCTCAGGATGACCACAGCATTGTGTTTCTTTGTGACCTCCACATTCACTTCCCTGCTTCCATCATCGATACTATCAGGAAGCATTGTGTGGAGGGATACATGGCCTTTGCTCCCATAGTCCTGAGACTGGGCTGCGGGGCTACGCCATTAGAGCCCAGAGGTAGACATCCATGCACCCAGATTTCATACATACATTTTATTTTCCCTCTTGAGTCATTATTATCAGAAGTTTGTCAACGGAGTGTTTATATGGCTGGAGTTTTTAAATAAATGGTTTTAGAGCAATGTCATAATTTACTCCAAAATATCAAAATTTTGAGTTCCTTAATTTCAGTAATAAGATGTTAGACCTTGAAGGTGTTGTCCAAGTGAGTGTAGGAATCCTTTTAGATGTACAGTACAGCAAAAAGAGGGCGACGGACAGTGAACACACAGACAACGGTGCTGGGATTTTTAAGCTGTAAAAAAAAAAAAAATTACCTTCCTACATCATTGCTGGTAAAAAGAATGCAAATAGCTTTCAACGAATATAGCCATTTAAAAAGAAAAGGCATTTTCAGGAGAACATGACATTCAATTTGAATGAAAATGTAATTATCTGTGTTGCAGGTTACTGGGAGGTCAATGGCTTTGGCCTGCTGGGGATCTATAAGTCAGATCTAGACGCAGTGGGAGGAATGAACACCAGAGAATTCAGAGACCGCTGGGGAGGAGAAGACTGGGAGCTCCTCGACAGGTGTGTTGCTAACTTTTTAAATGTCATTTAATTGATAGACTTGTTTGTTACTCATAGGGCCCGTGTCCACCAAAGCATTGTTTTCTGACGCCAGCGTCTTTTTTTCAATACATTCCAATGGAAGCGCCAGGAGCGTGATGAGGTGCTGAGTGTCTTTTCCATGATGAGCGCTGAGCATTTTTTTCCAGTCGCCGAGAGTTGAAAAATGTTCAACTTTGGAAAAAACGCTGCGCTCGTCACGGTCACTTTTTACCCAGCCATCCACTCACAGTGCAGGAGGGGTGGGACAAACACTGCACCGAGCACATCCGATCTTGAACAAAGTGATGTGCCTACTCGCCGAGGTGTTTCCTTGCCCGCAAAATCTCATGAACCCACGTACACTCACTGGCCACTTTATTACAACTTGCTAATACAGGGTTGGACCCCCTTTTGCCTGCATTAATTCTTCGTGGCATGCTTTCAACAAGGTGTTCGAAACATTCCTCAGAGACTTTGTTCCACTGTGGTCTTCTGCTGCTTTAGCCCATCTGCTTCAAGGTCGACGTGCTGTGCGTTCAGAGATAGTATTCTGCATACATTGGTATACCATCTCGAACCAGTCTGCCCATTCTCCTCTAACCTCTGACATAAACAAGGTGTTTTTGTCCACACAACTGCCGCCCACTGGATACTTTGTCATTTTCTGGCCATTCTCTGCAAACCCTAGAGATGGTTGTGCGTGAAAATCCCAGTAGATCAGCAGTTTCTGAAATCCTCAGGCCAGCCCGTCTGGCAGCATAATATCAGCACAGGTACACGTTGAGATAGCAGTACAAGTTCAGCAATCTTAAACATTCATTCAAGGTTTTAGAGGCACACTCTAAAGGGCAACAGTATGAAGGAAAATCAACTTAAAAAGAGAATGATACACATTTCTGCACCAACAGTATATGTGCTGTTTAAGAATGGTAAGACTAGTGATGACAGCTACCTGGAAAGTAACGCAGCACACTTTGCAAGTGCACATCAATCAGGAATAACAGAGAATAGCTATTGAAAATCTTATTTCAAGAGAGGGAAATGAAAAACAGTGCATGATGGTGTGTAACTTGTGTATCATTTGTTCTTTTCATTTTCAGTAGGTAATCCAACTTCGAAAACTGTTTTTTAATTTCGTTATTCGTTTATGAATCCTTTGGTTTTTAAGATTTCTTCAGTATCAAAGTAATTCAGTGATAGTTTTCACTACATCTAATCGTACACAGAAAGAACTGTTGAAAATCACAATGGGGCAAACAAAACACATTACTGTCCACAGTCTAACTCACTTACTGTATCTTTTAGGATAAGTAAATCTGTTCACAGACTCGTATTCATTAGCCTACATTAAATCAGGTGGCGCCATCATCCAAGTGTATTTACTACAAAGTTAGGCTATCAAGTGCAATACACGAAGAAGCAAGTAACTGCCTGATCACACAAATCGGGACACATTAAATATCAAAATCAATTTTCATTTCCAATTTTTGACTTGAGCATAAAATTGAAGTACAAAAAACAAGCCGTTATTAGTTTTTCGTGTTGGATTCATAGAATGAGTAATGACATAAAGAACTGTTTAGTTTTTTTTTTCCAATTTTGGATTCACAATTGAATATGAAAAGAACAAATGATACGTGTGCGTGTGCGTTACTCCTTGAATCTGCAGCTCCCCTCAGCTTTACAGTGCTTTCTACCGAGTTCTATCTAATTGTTTAGCTGTCTGGCCCTTTTTTTATTTTTTTATTTTGTCGGGTCTCACCACCCTCATGGTGTCTTTTTTGGCTACAGCAGGCAGCTGTGCAAAGTGAAAAAGCTCTAAAAACCCACTTTACACTATCTGCTCAGCACCAATGTTAATTCTCTAGTGAATATATAGGAGCTTTTAGTAGCTAAAGAGCCAGAAATTTCCTTCGGGAGTGGGCAGAGAGCTTGAGGAGAGTGAATATTGGACACAAACACAACTCCAAATAAATGATAATATTGTTCTTAAACTCCTGGATGTGTAAATAAGTGACTCTTTGCTCTCAAGTGTGCCATGTCAACTTAAAAGAGTATGATATGTTTAAGCTGATTTTAATTTTGAACAGAACAAAAGAACTACATTTAACCAAGTAGCATCGTTTTTGTTAATTAATTAGTTTAAGTTAAATATTTATCTATGAATCTGGACAGCAACATTAAACGGTTAACGTCCGTTTCAATTGACAATATTCATATTTCACTTAATTGATATTTCACTTAATATCAATATTGTGGCTTAAAACACTTGGGGACGAAATGAAATGTAAGTAAACAAACTCTCCTGTGTTCTCTGCTCTAGAATTCTCCAGGCGGGACTGGAAGTGGAGAGGATCTACTTGAGGAACTTCTTCCACCATTATCACTCCAAACGTGGCATGTGGAACCGCCGGATGTCGTCCAGCCACAGCGGCAGCCAGCAGGGACCAGCCGCTGCACCGTGACCATAATAGGTGCCACTGTTCCAACTACCGTTCCAAACAGAGCACTTTATTGTCGGAGGATGATTGCTGCTATACAACAATAATGCCTGCTGACTGACAGAGAGGTGACACAGGATGCTAACATAGGAGTGGGAACTGTCTTCAGCCACTCTGTCGAACAGCAATGTACACTTGGCAGCAGTGAAGGTCTTTTCATAAGGAGATACTACTGATATGCTCAGCATTTATTTCACTGGATGTACTGTTAACTGCCATTGACTGTGTGCTATTACATATGAAGATACTGCTGTGCACCATGTTGCTGACTGAGAACATGATGACCAGCACTACTGGCTGCAAAGAACCAAGCATATCCAAAGACAAAACATAAACTGAATGACCGTTCACTGAGGATGTATACACACATCCTATGTCCTATATCATAAACATCACACACATCTTGTACAAGAGTCTCAACTCGAGAAAAAGTTGTTTGTGACAAAATGAAATGCACATATTCGACAGCAGATTGTGTACACGGTAAACACAGCCTAATTTGTCATGTTTCTGGGATTATTTATTATATCAATGTTTGTAGGATCTTTTGTGTTATTTCTAGAAATAGATGGCATTTCAGGAAAGTATTTGTTCTTATTAATATTAACTGTGCCTTCTGTTGTGACTGTTATTCAGGTACTGGGGCCACACAACATGGCTGTTTTTTATAGACAAGTCAGGAAAAGCCTTAAACTGGGGAAAAACAATTAAATGTGTGTTATATTTTCACGATTGTATCATTTAGTTTTGTCGGGGAAGGACGGTCAATTTAAAAAAAAAAAAAAAAAAATTTAGACAGGTATGTTTTGTATTGGCCAATAAATCACAGGCAATATTGGCATATGAAACGAGAATCAAATATGAGAAAACTGAAGTTTGAATATGCTGCCTATTTCTGCCCATTTTTCCTACACTGCCGTTTACCAAAGATAATAGTTGAGTAGGAGAACTTCTTTTTTCCTGTGCAGAGCAGTCATAAAGCAGTGTTTGATTTTCAACATGACAGGCTATTGAAAATGTAGCATTACAGTCAATTTTAGTAAAGTAATTTTCCTGTTTATTTATGTCAATGCACCTAGCTTATTTTTTTTCTTTTATCGATCTACCTGCTGAACTTAATAGTTGTTTTTCAGAAGAATTATTTTTTTGAATGAATCTCAAAAGTCTATGAAGCTTGAAGCAGTGAATACAGATAGAAAATGTAGCCGGTGAAAAAAGATCTTGTTTATTTATCATTTTGTTTTGTTACATTTCATTGTTATTTAAGACTAATGGCAGCATTCTCTCGTTCACATTCCAGTTTAACATGTTGTGCCTTTCTTAGTCATTGAAATTAATACATGTTGGACAGTTTCACATGTCATTTAGGGAAATAAAAACACAACACAACACAATTCTTGTCGGATGCCACACTTTGCTTTGGTTTTGGTTTGTAAGACTGCCAAGAATTGTGTGATGTTTCTTCCCCTTTTTTCTTGTACCAAAGCATTGCACCTTTTGAAATCTGGCCCCTGGTTTGGCCAGAATGTTTGATGCTTTCCCATTTCCTCCTTTACTACTCCTTCATCTCTTACTTTGTTGTATTTAGATATACCTCATCCCTCTCTTTGTGCTGGGAGTTAACCTCCGCCTTATTGCACTCTCTTCTCAGGTCTTTTCCAATTTACACTGCCATGACAAATTTGAAGAATAAATTACTCTTGCCTTCATTTCCATCAAATTATGTGTACTTTTTAATAGTTGTCATATGCTATGCAAATAGTAGACTGAGAAACAGCAAACTTCTCAAGCACTTCTTACTGATTACTGACTACAAATTGGAGGTAGTCTTGCTATTGATTGTATGTATTAAGACTTCTAAAGAAAAAACTAAACAAATAATAGAGCTTTAAACGAATATAGCCATTTAAAAAGAAAAGGCATTTTCAGGAGAACATGACATTCAATTTGAATGAAAATGTAAAAGTAAAAACTAAAAGTAAAAAGTATGCCACGAAGAATTAAGGCAGTCCTGAGGGCATAAGGGGGTCCAACCCGGTGCTAGCGAGGTGTACCTAATAAAGTGGCCAGTTTTAAAGTAGTTGTGTACTTGCAGAAAGTGACATTTGTGATTATTTTTTTCACCAGACAGCAATTTCAAGTGTCAAGTTCTCAATGTAGGCAGGAAAAGAGCAATGTCCTGTTCAAACAACAGCTCATATTTTGACCATACGAGTCTTACAGTGTTTTTTTTTGTTTGTTTCTTTTCTTTTTTATTTCAATAGTAACATTCACAGCTGATGGTGCAATCACCACACCAATGACCAGGAACTAAGTCAGCCGTGTAGATACAGGTTATTTTAACAACGTTAAAGAAAGGTTTGACATGTGGCTGACATTCTGCTTCCTTATCATATGAATCCCCAACACACCTTTAGCATACACCATACTCACTCAGCAGTGTCAGAACAGCACAAGCAGAAAAATGGACAAATTCCAGTCAAATGTGACTATACAGATTATATTCTGTCCTGCAACTAGATCATGCAGCTCTTCCAGGAGTTTAAACCTAGACTGCTCAGATAGAGAGGGGTTTTCCAACACTCTATCACAACAAGACAATTTCAGGGAAACACAAGTCTGAGGAGAGACACTGTACAACTGTGATGTGTGAGGACCATTTTAATCTTTTACCACTGGGATGAAAATGCTCTACACAGTAAGAATAACAGTCTGACACATTTATGTGGGCACATACTGTATTTGCGCGTGAGCGCTCATAAATTCCTTGGAGGCTGCCGACTCCATCCCATCACGCTCCATCATTCTGCCTTCCTCTTACTGACTGTCTCTGATGTCAGCCCAAGAACAGCTACTAGTGTGTGACCGTGTTTACTGTTTATTATTGGAGAGGAATTCATTCCAGTCAAGAGGAAAGGTTAAGTTAATCCAGGCTCTGACAGAAAATATCTCTGATGCTTTGTCACAGTAAGTCAATGGCATAGCTTAGCAGAGACACTACATGAAAAACAGCGAGAACTCCCTGTATAAAAGGACAATATCTGTCGCAGTTACAAATGAAATTCAAAATTGGATTATTTGCAATATTTTAGTGCATTTAAATCCCTCCAATAGTAGAAATACAGTATAAGAGTAGAGGCTACATTTAGTTACTGTATTTCACATATTAGCTTCAAAACTATTCTGAATATGTGAAAATGAAAGAAAAGGAGAGGCAATACGTACAAATGTATTAATTTACATAACAGCATTATCAGGCAGTAATATCCTGTGTATTCACAATGGTACTTTACAAATGGTCTACTTGAAAATGGAATAAAAACTACAGTAATTTGAAAGTCATGTATATTATTACACTATTTGTAACTCCCTAACATCAGGCATCAAACATCTTCTTCCTGCCCTCCATACCAGACATGGCTTCCACGTTCTTACGCCAGTCACCCACCTCCATGTTCAGCTCCTGAGATGGAAAACACATGGACCATTAGGCCTTTGCAGTTTCTTTCTCTGTAAATAATTTGAATATGCATATGTCTGCTTAAGTAGCCGTACCTTCTCTTGTTTTATGTCCTCTTTCTTAACAGCCCTTGTTTCTGGATCCAAAGAGAGCTTGGATGAGCGTTTTGAACTCTTTTTGTTGATGTACTACTATTTTAATGTTTTTCATTTCATTTAAATCAGGTTTGTCATGGTGCGTGACATACATCTCTGTTGTTCTTAATGACTTTGGACTCATAGTCGTACCGCTCCACATCCACCATTTCAATCTTTGCATGAATCTGCTTACACAGTTTCTACAACACAACAGCAAACACAAATATCCACACTATGTTTAAGAACAGGAATAAGACACTTGATTACTGTTTCTACATAATCTTGTATGTTTAGTCTTAGGGCTGTAACCTGCTATGCTTTACCTCTGTTTTTTTGTGATCCTCACCTGCAGGTCATCCATGTTTAAACCAATGAGCTGCAGCGGTGGAAGCTTCTCTCCCAGGTAGCGAACCTTCTCTTCCTCTCTTGCAGCTTTCTCTGCCTCCAGCTCTTCTGTCGCACGAGCCAGCAAGAGGATCTGGATGAGTCAAAGTCAACATGGAGAGAAGTGTGGGAAATGTGGGTACATAATCAGCACATATAGTTTTCCTCTTCGCAGATTTGTTTGTTTTTAAGAATTGTTTACCTTCAATGAGAGCTTGCGGGAGGCTGAAATCTTGCATTTGAGCTGAAAATAATGCAAAATATGACATATTACACCTGGCCTTTTAGTTATAATGATGCAAAGACCCATAGTTGAGGTTCCTAGTACCTCTTTGTGGAATAGCCTTTGACTTACTATGTACCTTAGCATCTCACTAGACAGCAGCACCTTGAAATACCCAATATTTAGCTAAGAATCAGGGTTTCTTTCTTGTTTAAATGCATCCGATCTTATGATGGTATGACCTATTTACTCTGTAATACTGTTTTCTTTCAGAGAAGCTGCTAAGCTGAGTGAAAAGATTCAGTCATTCAAACATGTAAACACAACTATTATAGGTTCAAAACATTGTCAGTTCAAAAAACTATTACTACCTTTGCCTCTGCCTTGGGGGCCATGGGTGATGGTGACTCTAATTGTTTTCCCCAATTCTTTAGGTTAGATAGCATTGTAAGATGTGCAGGCTGTAACTTACATCACTTTGATGGCCATGTGGAATTTGTTGGACCACAGAAATTAGAGACACACAAGCAAACAATAAACACTGGTATTATTCTGAGATAAAAATGCTTCATAGGCCAGTAAACACTCAAATTTTTACTTTTAAATGGTGTGATGACAGAACTTACTCATGAGACATTGTTGAGCCTTTGAAAAAGATTATTAAGATGTTGTCAGATTTGAAAAAAATAAGAAAAATGTCGAGTGATAAATATAAAAAGACATCTCCAGCTGCAGACCATAAATGTACAAGCATAAAAAATCAGAATGGTGTTTAACGGCAGTTGCCTTTTATATGTTAAACCAAAGATCCTTCATTGAGAAGACAAATCACTCCACTAACGCTTCGGGTTTAAAAAGGTGAAAGATGACCTCTCCATCTTTGAGTAGCAGGTTTCTATTGAAAATGGGTGACATCCAGCTGCTACCCGTCTTTGCAGCTGCGTGTGTGAACACAACTTCATTTCCAGATCAGCTTTTTCCTTCTTTTCCCTCAAAGTCAACAATTCCTTATAGGGCAATTCACTATCTACAATGAAAGTAACACACAGTCACATTCTGCTATTCATAAAAATCTGGCTTGATTTATTCTGAGACAATTATCATCAAATCCTATTCATGACAAAAATCCTACACGGAGCTCTGAATATTAATATTTGTTTCCAAGTTACACACAAATCTTTTAAAAAGAGTATTATATTGATGTTAAAAACAGACTCTCAGCAGCGGTTACCTTGTCTGGATGACATCTGCGGTACCTTGAAACAAGGACATAGTGAGCTGTCTTCTCTTTTTCCAACTTCTCTAATGGCTGCTTTTGTGACGCCTCCCAGCTCTCAGTCAGGAATGAATGGTCGGTCACCAGGATTAACGGGAAAGCTCTGCTTGTTAACTCAACAAGTCTTTACTGACTGACATGATTAGCACCTTTGTTGGAAATGATAATGTCCTACTAACAGACAAAATTAACCCCAGTCTGACACTAAAATTAAGCATTACTGTTAATTCAAACTCTGGACTGTGTCATCTGAGAGGAACAGAAAACAAAATATGATCCAATATTCCTCATAGTGTAGGCCTACCTGTGTATGCAACACATTTGTGAACCTGCTCCCAATAGTTAAAGAAGCACATTTTTGTAACCTTCTCTCTTCGGTTTGAATTGCAAACAGGATGCATTTATATACGACTAAATCACTTTTGGGTTGTAGCGTGTGTGTTTGTGACATGATTAATATTTGTATATTATGATGCAGAAAGTAAATATCGGTTTCTTCTTTATGACACATAGCTGTTAACCATCCTTTAAAGGTTAGAAAGTGTTGACCTTGATGGTGTCACCCCCCTCTGACGTGCTCCATTTCTGTGAGAGACCGCATGCAACATAACCTTCACACTACTATTTTGGGATCAACAACTCCCTCGTCATCTTCCTATCCCTTTGTAATTATTTCACGTATTGTAATGAACAAGGGGCTAGTAACTTTAGCTATTTAAGGAAAAATGGAAGCTTTAAAATGGGTCCAGGTCATAATATTAACACATACAGACACACACAGATAGTCACACATTTGTAACCTAATCTTGAGCGATGACTCCTTTTCACAGTTCCAGGGATGGCACATACATTTGTCTTCATAGATACATACAGACCAAAAATACCAACCTATGGTGTGACTTCCCCCACTGGACAGCAGTGACAAGCTGTAGGCTCTGTGATTTAATTCAGACAAATCCACCTGGCACAAAGCTCAGTATTTCATGACAAACAGGCATTGGCCAGCACTTCAGAAAGCAAAGACACAAGTGTGGCATTTCTTGACAATAGGGGGGGAAAAAAGAAAAAACATACACTTGTCTATTTCTTTATCAATGTAAATAAATAAATAAAACATACCAACAGTAAAATTGAATAAGCTAAACAATAACAAGACTGAGCAATAACACTATACATTGCAAAACACAGAGGCATTCAATTTACAGCAAAGATTTAGTACTGGATTCCCCCGAGCAGTGTTACGTGGAAGGTGAGGAGTGACCAGGTTGTTAACGATGCGCATGCCCAAGACAAATCCTAACGCTGCCTTTAGGTAGTTTCAGAATATGGTAGTTAACAGCGTACGTAGCTACGTAACACACAGCCAGAATCTACTTTTAGTGATTATTATGTACATTTATGTATTGCTTTAATGTTTCCAATGACGGTAGTTGATGAAAGGATTATTTTGCTATTTTTTGTCTAACCGGAGGAACATGTATAATGTAGCAACTCATATGGAAGCATTACGTTACGAGGTGAACAGGAAGGCAGCACAACACGCTAACCCCTGGGCATTCATTCATCATGGGCTTATCGTTATCAAGCTAGCCGTTGGCTTTACGCTATAACCAACGACATGTGACATGATTCAATAAGTCGGTCGTAACGTCACCCATACAGCATTATCTATTTAGCTGTAACGTTAATATTAGGGCAGGAATATTTCTAACGTGAACGACATTTGCTGCCTGGTGTACTGGGAACTAACTGTTATGTGTTATGGAAGAGACACGGAGGTCAGACGAGCGCTGGGTTGTAAACAGTAGTGTCCGAGTAAAAAGGAGCCTGCAGCCGCGTTGACAGCTGTCTGTTGGTATTGTAGCGCTGGTGAGGATGGTGCCGTTTGCTCTGGGAGTAGCTAGATAACACCGTTGTTACATAGGTGATGGCTTTGCGGTATGATTGTAACGTTAAAAACATGGCCGATCAGGTAGCGCTAAGAAGAGTCTGCAGTGCAGTTACACCTAAGTGGCTATTCCTGCTAGCCTTGCTTTGCTAACGTAAACTAAGCTAACTATTAGTTGCAGTCGTGTTCATAAACGGAAGTTCAGCACTTAACTTTCGCCCTTTTAGTCTTAAAACTATTTAGAGTTAAGCTAGAAGCGTTAAATTGTAGTTATTCTAAGGGGAAGCTAGCTTATATGCTAGTCTAGCATGTAAGTTACCGTTAACAGGGAAAGGGCTCTCCACACTGTCAACAACATATGCCCGTGTATTTAAGGAGCCCACTCTTCAGTCTTCACTATTAGTGACAGCAGTGTAGATTACAGCAGGTGTCTGTGTGAAAAGCCATTGATACAATTAGTATTGTTATTTATGTTGTTTGTTCACAGATCAAAATTGAATCATGCCTGGGAAACTGAAGGCCAAAATTGTGGCAGGGCGCCATTTGCCTGTGATGGACAGAGCCAGTGACCTTACTGATGCTTTTGTAGAGGTGAGTGGAGGTGCTTGACAAGCAAGGCCATTCACATTGGTAACAACATATATTTTATATTTGTTTTCAGTGTGGTTGGCACTTTTGTCATTGCTCAAAGTAATAAATGAGGCATTTAAAAGATGTGTCTTGTGCCTTTTTATTTCCCAGGTTAAGTTTGGAAACACAACTTTCAAAACCGATGTCTGTCCTAAATCCCTCAATCCACAGTGGAACTCAGAGTGGTTCAAATTTGAGGTACAATGAGCTTCTCTTTATTTGTGACAGGCAGTGGTAGTATTATTGTAATGTATCACACAACGTGGTCAGTTGCGTTAAATTACTAGCATTACTAAACTCTCTTACACTCTTATCTCTGTTGCCTTTGTCTTTTTCACTGTCTTCCTCTTGCTGTCTCCTCCTCTTGTCTAGGTTGATGATGAGGATTTGCAGGATGAGCCATTGCAGGTCACAGTGCTGGACCACGACACATACAGTGCTAATGATGCCATAGGGAAAGTTTACATTGACATTGACCCGCTGCTGTGCAGTGAGGCTGCCTCTATCATCTCTGGCTGGTTTCCCATCTATGATACCATCCATGGTACAAGAATAAACTAATCTGACCATAATAATCACCCCCCCCCCCTTCTATTCTATTTCTTATTATAATATATTTTTCTTGATTATTTGTTATTAGGTATTCGAGGGGAGATCAATGTCCTCGTCAAAGTGGAGCTTTTCAATGATTTGAACCGCTTCAGACAGTCCTCCTGTGGCGTCAAGTTCTTCTGCAGTACGTCTGAATTGAATTTTGGTTCACAATTCTTTGTTTACTTTTCAAAAATGCTCTTACTCAGTTTTATAATAAGTGCACCAACAGAAAAGGTGTCATTTCCAAGATCAACAAAATTACCAGCTGTGTCAGTGCCAACAGTTGTCACATAATATGTGCTAAAGATGGAATAACAGCTGAAGAGAAATTTAAAAGGATTTATTTCCATTTAATCTAAAACCTATGTGATGTTTGTCTCATTGTGTTTGTAGCAACATCCATTCCACGGTGCTACCGGGCAGCGATGGTGCACGGGTTTGTAGAGGAACTTGTGGTGAATGAAGATCCAGAGTACCAGTGGATTGACCGTATTAGAACTCCTCGGGCCTCCAATGAGGCTCGTCAGAGGCTCATCTCTCTTATGTCTGGTAAGAAAATTCACAGTCATGCAACTCTTTTATGTTGTTGTGGAGGAAGGGGACTTTGGTCCTCCCCGTACTCCCCTTCTCTTGTTAATGTGGCTGCGTGTTATCTCTTACTCAGGAGAGCTGCAGAGGAAAATAGGGCTTAAGGTACTGGAGATGGGCGGGAATGCAGTGGTGGGCTACTTGCAGTGTTTTGACTTGGAGGGAGAGTCTGGCCTGGTGGTCCGGGCTATAGGTACTGCCTGCACACTGGACAAACTCAGCTCTGGAAGCGCCCCCAACACCAACACACACATGCACCCTAACACAGCCCCTGCTTCCAATGCCTGCAATTCCCCTTCTAAGGAAGGAAAGGAGTGAGTATGAACCATCAACACAAGCATGGACACTGCCTTTTTTTATGTGCAAGTTTCACTGCAAATCTATTTTGTGAGAAAGGGGGAAAGATGGTCGCTGTGTGCATGAGAGGGAGAGTGTATGGATGAAATGTACTGTGTGTTATGTCTGTGTATAGCCTAGCAGTTACTCCTGTGTGTGTGTGTCTCAGTATCTTTGATTCCCCTTTGTAGTTTGTGCGTCTATTGTGTCATGTGTATTGCATCATGAAACTAACAGCACACAACATGTCCTGAGACACACATGTACAGTACACACTCAGCCATCCTCAACCCCCCTCCTCCCTTGTCTGCTCTTTTAGACCGCTCTTGCATGGCTTTCTGCTCTGCCTCTGCATGTTCTAGTGCTGCGTCTTTTAGTGAGTA